CTTTTGTTGCTTGATGATGCATGGAGAGGATTGTAACCATGGCAATGAAATGATATACGATAGGATGAATGTAAAGCTAATGTTCTCCCATGTAAACTATTACATAATTCACAATAAAACAGCTTAAAAAAAAAGGGCAGTACCAGTCCATATCAGCTCATGAATACCAAGGATATTTGTCTTTGTGTTCCATTTCATTTTTGACAACTCCCATTTTTCCTAGATTTATACTTCGTACATTCCGCATTCTGATTATTAGTGTATGTTTGCAACTATTTCTTTTCATTTTGAATTGTGCCCCATCAGTAACGGAAGGTCCTGAGACTTGTTCCATTCACATCATTAATGTCAACTCTGCTAACTTGAGGGGTTCATCTTCTAGCACTATGTCAGGCAATGTTCTACTGCTGCTATTCATAAGATCTCAGTGGCTAACCTATCAGAAGTGGTCCACCTCTTCTTCTTGCTAGTCTATCTTGGTGTGGAAACTCTACTTAAAACTGTCCACCATGAGTGATCCTGCTGGCATATAAAATACTGGTGGCATAGCTTCCAGCATCACAACATACACGCCACTACAGTAGGACAAACTGACAGTGTAAATCATTGGTATTACAGTACAAAGTAAATTACAGACACTTTGAAAGAGGAGTGATCAGTTATTTTGTAGCATGTACTTCAATTTGAGTTTGATGTTTTCTATAATTTGACTGAGGTTATGAGAGCCTGTGAGTGGCAGATGTTCTTTACACCCCACATTTCTGGGAGTTCTTACTGAATGGATGGTAGATGGATACAAGCATACTTGAACCTCTGTAAAGAAAGTTGCCAAATCTTACATCTCCATTTGTAAAAACCCTTTAACCAGATGCCTGTATGGAAGAACAGCATATCAATTCTTAGTTTCTATTTACTTCTAGATGTAGAAATGCTTCAGGCCAGTACATCTAACCAAATGTCTGGAGAGAGTTTCTCTCGGCCCACCAAGGACTCTATGATCCGCAAGTTTTTAGAAGGTAAGTTGTAGATGTGGAAAGGAAGCAAAAAGAGGGAAAGAGAAATGAATGTAATATCATTTGTTTTCATACGAGGGTTGCTCCCTCTGCTCAAGGAGTGGGCAGTCCCATGAGTGACATGTGATGTGACTGAAGGCACTGCCCCCTTGTGCCCTTCTCATCAGCCTGTTCTACATGGGCCAGTGATCTCACCACTGGAGCCGCTCATTGGGTAAATGAGTTGCCTCTAGCTGGATTTCATGAAAATCCATGTTTGCTTGTAGTTTAAAAATTTTAATTGTTGTAAAATAGATATAACAAAACAAAAAAAGATAGTTTTTTTCCAGTTATAAGTGTACAATTCAGTGACATTAATTTCAGTCACCATGTTGTGCTACCACCAACCACCGTTGTCTGCTTCTGAAAATTTTCCATCATCCCCAACAGAAACTGAATACTCCTTCCATAATATCTTCTCTTTCCCTCCTCCCCGTCACCCCTGGTAATCAATCACTCAGTGGTTAAGAATACAGATTCTCCCTTCTGTTGGCTGGGAAATCTTGGGCAAGTTACTCAATTCCTCTGGATCTCAGTTTCTCAGTTGTAGAGTGAGGTTAATATTATGAGGCTGAAACGACTTAGTATATTAAAAACTAGAGCAGGGCCAGGCACATAAATGAAAAGTCAGTAGACCTTTACATTATTAAAGATTTCAAAGATGGTGGGTATTAAATTGGGCAGGTAAATCCTTAACACTGTCCAGCCATTTACCAATTATGGTGCATTCTGTTAATCAAGTATGTATAGGAAGCTGGGTGCTAAGAGGACAGGATTCACAAGTGATTTTGAGACTGAAAGGGAAGGAAAAGCTTTAGAGCAGAAGTAGGCAAACAGCAGCCTGGCCAGCCACCTATTGTTGTAAATAAAGTTTAATTTGAATAAAATCACACCCATTCATTTACTCATGATTTATGGCAGCTTTCATATTGCAAGGACAGAGTTGGATAGTTGTGACAGAGACAATCTGGCCTGCAAAACTTGAAATACTTATTATCTAGACCTTAAAAAAAGTTTGCCAAGCCCTACTACTATGAAAGCATAAAGTTGTTTCTGTGAGGTGGGGAGGAGAGTTCTGAGCAGCCCTAGCTAGGTCCGTCACTGGTAGAACATCAAGAGGGCATGGTCTCACCTTGAAGATAGACTTTGCTTTGCCACCTTGCTACTTGGCTTTACGTTTTCTTTGTTATATTTAGCAGTGTGCCCAGCATACTTAAATCCTTTAAGAGTAATCTCCATTTAAGCCTCTTGCAATTCTGTGAGGTGGGTACATCATTTCATTTTGCAGATGAATGAACTGCGGTATGGAGCAACAAAGTGATTGTCCAAGGTCCTGTTGTCAGTATGCAGCACTCACACTTTCCCACTGAGCTGCACTATTGCCTTCTCCAAAGGCTCTGTCCCTACCTCCTTCCTGATGGGACTATTTGGCAGCTGTGCCTCATCTCTGGTCCCATCACTTGTTTAGCAGTCATTTATCAGCCTATTATTCCATGTGAGGCACTGGTGTCTAAAGATGATAATAGAGTTTGGACAAGTCATTTTCACCCTCAAGACCCCAGTTGCTTCATCCTCAACCTGAAAATAAGGATTGTACTTAACTCCACAAAATTGTTAGAAGATCAACAGAGATGATGTGGGTAATACAGTAGAAACAGTGCTTGGCACAGAGGATGTCCTCTGGAACTAGTTGCTGTTATCATTTTGATGATGATGAAGAAGATGCTAGAACTGTTGGTGGTGGGGACTCCAAAGTTCCCTCACACGGGTGCCCAGGTACTAGTGGGCAATCTTAAGCATCCTTAGATTTTAAGATCTTATGTCTTAAGAATAAAGACCTTTTCTTTATCCCTAGTTCTAATGAGATGAATAACTGAATCCTAGCAGAAAAAGCAAGATTTCAGAACTTAGTGCTGATTTTCCTTTACTGCAAAGATGGATGACAAATAAAAGTGGTTTCAGGTGTTTTCTCAGTTGCTTTATGGAATCTGATGAGATTGTATAGGGGGTGATGGAGAGGAAAATTGAAGAGAAGCATTGTACATATAAGGTACGGTCACTCTCTCCACTCTTAGGACTGGCCAGCAGTTACCCAGTTCTTGTGACCACGACTTTCCTTTGCCTTCTTCCATGTCTCTTAGGCAACAATATGGTAATGGCCAGTTTGGAGAGGGAGCGGTATCATCTTGGACAGGGACAAGACGTTTATCGCACAGTGGTTGATGATGACACCTTTTCTGTGGATGTGGATGTGGCCAGCAGGCCCCCAATTCCAGTGCCCAGGCCAGAGGCCAGTCCTCCTGGAGCTCACCAGCTGCCCGACAATGAACCGTACATTTCTAAAGGCAAGTATGGCAGGGACAGATACCCCGCAGTGTCTTCAGAGCTTCTCGGAAGCTTTATGAGCCACTTCTTAGAGACTGAATAGTCCCAAATAGTCTCCAATCAGTCCCAGCAGACATTGATCATGGCTCAGGGAACATTCTGAATGTAGATTAGAACAATGTCAAATTTAGTTCTGGCCTTTCCTGATGTATTCACACACAGTTGCAAAGGCATACAAGATCTCCTCTCCCCACAATGGATTTGAACACAAATTTAATCACCTTGTCATCCTCCCACTAAGTAAACAGTTGTAACTGGTGAGTGACTGCATCGAAGTCCCTTGGGAGCTGTGCATACCTTTTACCTGCGTCACTACTCAGAGTTCCGTCCTATAACACTTGTTGACATGTAAACTGGCTCTTTCTCTTATTTTCAAGCTTCGAGGTGTTCCCTGGCTCAAGTTTAGGTGTTCACAGATTCTGGGCATGTGTCCTTTTTCACATTACCCATTTCCTTAATGATCTCATACATGATGATCAAGTCCTCTGCTGGCCTTGGCTTTCTAGGTTAGAGAGCTTTGTTGAGTTTCTCTTCATTTGGTAATCCCTACTCCTCCTACTAAGTGTAGTGGTTATGAGTTGGGCTGCTAATCTCAAGGTCAGCAGTTCAAAACTACTAACTGTTCCACACAAGAAAGATGAGGCTTTCTGCTTTCATTAAAATTTACAGCTTTGGAAACCCTATGCAGGGTTACTATGAGTTGGAACCAACTCCATGGAGCACCACCACCACCACCACTCCTCCTTCTGCAAAGTTGGTTTAAACTGTAAGGTCGGGAGTTCAGGCTCACCAGCCATTCCTCGGAAACCCTATACAGGGTCGCTATGGGTCGGAACCAATTTGACGGCACTTAACAACAGACTACAACTCCTCCTACATACTGAAGGACTCCTGCAAACTGAAGGACTACAGCCTTTGGTATAGGTTGCACCTCAATGTGGAGAAAAAAAAGATCCCTATCACTGGACCAATAAATAACATCATGATAAATGGAGAAGAGATTGAAGTTGCTAAAGACTTCATCTTGCTTGGATCCACAATCAACACTTACGGAAGCAGCAGTCAAGACATCAAGCAACATATTGCATTAGGCAGATCAGCTGCACAAGACCTCTTTAAAATGTTCAAGAACCAAGACATTAGTTTGAGGCCTAAGGTGCACCTGAGCCAAGCCATGGTATTTTCAATTGCCTCATGTGCATTGAAAGTTGGACAATGAATAAAGAAGACCATAGAAAAAATAATGCATTTGAGTTATGGTGTTGGAGGAGAATATTGAAAGTAACCATGGACTGCCAGAAGGACAAACAAATCTGTCTTGGCAGAAATACAGCCAGAATGTGCCTTACAAACCAGGATGGCCAGACTTTGTCTCTCATACTTCAGACATGTTATCAGGAGGGACCAGTCCTTGGAAAAGGATAACATGTTTGGTACAGTGGAAGGTCAGCAAAAAAGAGTAAGAGCCCCAATGAGATAGATTGGCACAGTGGCAGCAGCAATGGGTTCAAGTGTAGCAATGATTATAAGGATGACTTCAGACTGGGCAGTGTTTCGTTCTGATGTACTATGAATTGGAAACAACTAGGCAGCACTTAACAACAACTCCTTCTACTCACTGTTGTTGGTAGTGTCATTGAAGATTGAAGGAATACACAGTCACTGTACCAAAAAGAAATGGTGGATGTTCAATCATATGATCAAGAGTCAATGGTACAGAAGGAAGAAGTCCAAGATGCACTGAAGGCATTGAAATTCACTTGTTACCTGTTTCTAGAATTTTAATTTATAGAACCACATATAGTTGTCCTAATTATAGATTAATTTTTACCCCCACAAGATTTTGATGTAATTTTTTGGAAAAATGTACAAAATATACAAAGCCCTTTAAGAAAGATGTTTGTCTTGGCTTTTACTCAAAATATTCTTTATCTCATAGTTTTTGCAGAAAAAAGTCAAGAGCGGCCTGGGAATGTCTATGTTTCCTCAGAGAGCATCAAGAAAGGTAAGCCAGATGTTGTCCCAGCTTCCTTTTGTCTGATTCCATCTTCTGGGTGTAGAAGTGTTCATGTGCCAGTGATTCCCAAGTGTAAGAATAGCTCCTTGACATTGAAGAATATAGCCCATAGATACTTTAGGTGGACCTGTCTGAGAATTCTGACTCTCCAATTATCCTGATGGCAAATAAAGAAAGGAAGAGATTGGGGTAACCTAGAATATGTATGTCCCTGGGTGGTGCTAACCTATAGGTTGAAGGTTTGAGTCGATCCAGAGGCACCTTAGAAGAAAGACTTGGGGATCTACTGAAAAATCAGCCATCGGCAACCCCATGGAGGACAGATGTACTCTGACACTATTGGGTTGCCATGACCCTGAGTTGACTTAAACGACAACTGTTTCTATGGAGACTGTAATTGTTCCATGTTAGAATTCTTGCCTTCCATGTGTGAAACCAGGGTTCAATTCCCAACTGATGAACTTCATGTGTAGCCAGCCACTACTTATCTGTCAGTGAAGAGCTCTGGTAGTGTAGTAGTTATGAATCGGGCTGCTAATCTCACGGTCAGCAGTTCAAAACTACCAGCAGTTATGCAGGAGAAAGATGAGGTTTTCTGCTCCCGTAAAGATTTACAGCCTCGGAAACCCTGCACAGGGTCACTATGAGCCGGAACCGACTCCATGGTACATAACAACAACAACAACATGATGCCGAATGGAGTCCTGGTGTGGCTCTGTGGAATAATGCACTGGAATACTTGGTCGGTTTGAACTGCAAGGTCAGTGATTCAAATTCACCAACCGCTCCAGAAACCCTGTTCAGGGTCGCTATGAATCATAACTGACTCCAAGGCACTTAACAACAGCAACATAATGCTGAACGGTTTTCAGCTGGCTTCCAGGCTAAGCTAGACTAGGAAAAAAGGCTTGGTGATCTATTTCTGAAAATCAGCCAGTGATAAACCTATAGATCATGATGTTCCAATCTACATCTGATCATGGGGATCGTACAGGACTGGGCAGTGTTTCATTCCATTGTTCATGGGTTTGCCATGAGTGGGGGTCAATTCAGAGGCAGCTAACAACAACAACAGAGTATTGTACAAATTAATCATATAAAGAACACTTGGTGGTGGTAGTTCTGTGCCGTGGAGTCAGTTCCACTCATAGCCACCCTGTACAGTGTTTCTGAGACTGTAAATCTTTACGGGAGCAGAAAGCCTCATCTGTCTTCCGTGGAACAGCTGGTAGTTTCGAACTGCTGACCTTGCGGTTCACAGTCCAATTTGTAACCACTACGCTACCAGAACACTTACACACTAAAAAATGTCCGTACAGCACACAAAGTACAATCTAAACTCTGGAATTGATACCAACAGGAAGAAAGTGGGCAGCCCAGCATCCAGTCTTTACCTAATGATACAGACCTACCTGTTATTTACTTACTTACTCTATCTACACTAGTTAAAGTATACTTTAACTCAACTTTTTTTTAAAGAAACATTTTGGTTGCCATTGGGGAATACTCTGGACACCCATTTTTTCCCCTTTTTTCAAAAGGCTTTTTAAAGAAGTTTGAGGGAGTAGTGCTTATTTTTTTTCTTGATTAATTTCCTGTGCTAAACAGAGGCATTCAGTGTTATCCCATTAATGATTCTTTTGAAAACTAGCCTTGACATCATCTAGGCATTTGAATGGCATCCCCAAGGACTTTATTAGTAGGGGATAGGAACTGGTTGGCTTGTGCATTTTGCTCCCCCCTCACTCCATCTCCCAACACCATTATAGATTGCCTTGAAAAGGGCAAGCCTGGGAGAAGGGTGTGTGTGTGTAGACAGATGAGTAAATGGTTGGGCAGAATCATAGATATACTTCTTTGAGGCTTGTTTTCAATATACACTGGTTAAGTCATCTTTCTTTTTTCCTTCCTGGTTTCTCCCTGAATACAATGCCCAAATGAGGTTCTGTTGGTAAAATTTAGAATCCAAGATAGCCCTGCATGAATTAAACAGCCAGATTGCCCTCACATGCCCCAATGACCCTATCACCTCTGCAGGTAGCTCATTCTCCACGAGGTGTAATAAAACAGAATCTCATCCTGGAGGGGTGTTGAAAGTGAGCTTCCTGTTTCCTTGGAATGTCCAAAGTCGAGAACCATGAATTTGTCACGTGGTAGTAAGGTTGGCACTGTAACAACCCGAGGAGAGTCAGTTGAGGCTCAGCAACTAGTTTGCATTTGGTGGTGTTGGACCTGGGGTATGACTCCACTGGTATTCTAGCTGCTGTTGGCCTGACATGCCCATCAGGCCACAGTCATTGCACTTAGGACAGTGAGAGATGGGAAGGGTGCTGGCAGAAGAGCCTGGAATTCTGACTAGGCTCTTCCACTTTGTGTAATCTCCCGTGAGAGTGGATTTTAGTCCAGAGCAGTGGTTCACTGCTGAGAGTGATTTTGCTCCTCAGGGGACATTAAGCAGTGTCTGAAGACATACGTGGGTAGAGGCCAGAGTTGCTGTTGAACATCTACAATGTAAAGGTTAGGCCTTGCAACAGCGAATCATCCAGCCTCAAATGTCAATAGTATGAAGGTAGAAATGCTGTTTAAAGACGTCTCAATAATAAAAGCTTGGGAGGTTCTATAGACTCATCGGGTGGGCTTTATACCTCCCTAAAGTGTGGCTTCATCTACTTGGAGTCCTGGTGGGATGCTGTAGGATAAGCTCTGGATTAACGGCAAGGTCTGGTGGTTCAAACCCACCAGCCGTTCCTTGGAAACGCCTTACAGGGTTGCCATGAATAAGAACCTACTCCACAGCACTTAACAACAAAATGTGGCTTTATCGACTTTAGTGCGATGTTATTGTTGTTGTTGTTGTGATTCTGACTCATAGCGACCATGTGTGACAGAGTAGAACTGCCAATAGGGTTTCTTAGCTGTAACCTTCATGGAAAGGAGCCTTTGTAGCAGAAAAATAAGTGCTCCGATGCTCATTGAAAGGTTGGTGAATTTGCACCCACTCAGTGGCTCCAGGGAGACCTGGTGATCTGCTCCTGTAAAGATGGTTGTTGTTAAGTGTCATAGTCAATTTTAACTCAAAGCAACCCTGTGTATGGTTTCTGAGGAGCAGCTGGTGGCTTTGAACTGCTGACCTTGCGCTTAGCAGTCCAGTGCTTATCCTATAGCACCACACGAGGACTCCCCTGTAAAGATCATAGCCTAGAAAACCCCAGGGGGATGTTCTTCTTTGTCACATTGGGTTGCTATGAGTCAGAAATGAACTTGATGGCACTTAACTAAAACAGTTTCCATGTCTTTCTTCTGTGGAGCTACTGGGTGGGTTTGAACTACAAACATTTTGGTCAACAATGAGTACTTAACCACTTGGCTACTAGGCCACCCTCCTTTAGTAGGATAAACCCATTGCTACTGAGTTGATTCAGGCCCATAGCAAACTTTTAGGGCAGAGTAGAACAGCCTCACAGGGTTTCCAAGGCTATAGCCTTTACAGCAGGGGTGGTGAACGTACAGCTCCATGGGCTATATTTGTTATTGTTATTGTTAAGTGCCATCGAGTCAGTTCCGACCCATAGCGACCCTGTATAGGGTTTCCAAGGAGTAGCTAGTAAGCTTGAACCACCAACCTTGCAGTTCAAACAACTTTGCAGTCTGGCGCATTAACCCACAGCGCCACACCGGGACTCCATAGGCTGTATAAGGCTTGAGAAACCATTTGGTCTGGCCCTGCCAAGGCAACCGCAGTTCCAGCCATTACAATGTTGTTGTGGTTAAGTGCCATCGAGTTGGCTCTGACCTGCTTTCCTAGGAGTGGCTGATGAGCCTGAACTGACTTTGCAGTCCAGTGCATTAACCCACAGTGCCACACCAGAACTCTGCCATTTTATTGTTGCTGTTGTTAAGTGCCATTACATTGTTGTTGTGAAGGGCCATCGAGTCAGTTCTGACCCATAGCGACCCTGTAGAGGGTTTCCAAGGAGCTGCTGGTGAACTTGAACCGCTGCCATTACATTAGGGGTGAGTTAATGAAATGTTTGGCCAAATATAGCAAGCTAATTTTTAAGTTGATAATTTTATATGGCTTGTGAGTAGTGTTGTAAATTTTGGAGGAAACAAGGTTCCCTACCCCTGCTTTACAGGAAGGAGCTCTGGTGAAGAAATGGGTGTAGTGTTGGCCTTCTAACTGCAAAGTTGGTGGTTTGAAACCACTAGTTTCTTTGCTGGAGAAAGATGAGATTGTCAGCTCTCATAGAGATCTGTAGTCTCAGAAACCCTAAGGAGCAGGTCTGCTCACCCTATAAGGTCACACTATGAGTCAGGATCAACTTGACAGCTGTGAGTTTGGATTTTTGGGAGTCTTTACAGTACAGACTGCCACAGCTTTCTCCTGCAGAGCAGCTGGTGGGTTAGCACCAACTTTAGTTTAGTGACCAAGTGTTTAACCACTGTACCAGCAGGGCTCCTTTTAGCATGATAGCCAATCAAACTCACAGCACCCCTGTAGGACACAGTGGAACCGTAGCGTTTGAGATGTGAATCATTACAAAAGCAAATCGCCTCACCTTCCTCCCATGGACAGGCTGGTGGGTTCCAACCACCAACTTTTGGTTAGCAGTTCAATGCTTAATGCATTGTGCCTCCAAGGCTTCTTTTAGTCTAATGTTGTTGTTGTTGTTGTTGAGTGCCATCGAGTCAGTTCCAACTCATAATGACCCTGTGTAGGGTGTTTGACGAGTGGCTGGTGAGTTTGAACCATCAACCTTGTGGCTCAAACCAACCTTGAGGTTGACTGCTTATCCTATGGCACCGCACTGGTTCTATGTCATATGTTCCCTTTTTGACTCATGTGCTCCTGAAGCCATGACCAACCTCTTTAACCCTTCTCCACATCAGCTCCATCTAGTGGGAGGCATTCAAACCTGGGTCTTGCCATGTTTTCCAGAGGCGCCTGTCAGACCCTGGAGGGATAGACCCCAGTCAAGTATATATGACCCTTTCGCTGGGATGAAAACGCCAGGCCAGCGCCAGCTTATCACTCTCCAGGAGCAGGTGAAGCTAGGCATTGTCAATGTGGATGAGGCAGTGCTGCACTTCAAAGAGTGGCAGCTCAACCAGAAGAAGCGCTCCGAGTCCTTTCGCTTCCAGCAGGTAACTAGCTCCCTGTGTAAATTGTTTCATGACGATTTCTCCACTCTGCTGTCAGCTCCTGGAGGGCTGGGCCCAAGACTATCTTGTTTATTGCTGGAACTGAGCACCAGCTGCAATGCCTATGAACGTTTGTATGTTATCATGAGTCAGTCACTGAGTGTGTGTGTGTGTTGGGGGTGGGACCTGTACTGTGTACCCACACTACTCATTAGCTAATAGCTGGATAGTTTTTCTGGAGTGTTTCGCCATGAAGCTAGAGATCAGGGACAAAGACTCAACTGTAAACTCGGATTCTCCTGCCACCGCCCCTGCATCTAGTCCTATACTTTTGCTTTCAACTTTTCTTTTTCCGGCGTCCCTCTCTCTACTTCAGTGAAAATCTCCCACACTTCAGGATTCAAAGAGAGCTTGGAATGCTCCCAAGAGATATTAAGTAAACAAAACAAGTTGTAGATATAAAAGCACCCAAATTGAAACACACTCACACAACTCTGTATTTCTATATGCCTGTACATAAGTGCAAAGGCAAAGCTCTGGAATGGGCCCCCAATACAAGTTCCAGAAATTATTTATTGGGAGAGACTGGAATTCGAGTGCTGGGCATCAGAGGAGTTTCTTGTTTTATCCGTGTCTTCAAGGTGACTGTTTATGAAATTGTATTCATCTACTCCAAGGAGTATGTGAACTCAAAGGAGCCCTAGAAAGCAATACCCAGTGCAGCAACGTCATATTCAAACAGAGGAGCTTGGGCCCAGACAGTTTATGGGATGTGCCTGGAGTTACTTAACTAGTAAGTGGCAGAGTCAGTTTTGGGATTCCTCCCCAGTGGAACTTCAGCAGTGTGTGTTTTCTAATCTCAGCCCTCACAGGACCTGACCATCCAGTGCTGAGATGGGGGCATCTCTTCTTGCAGTGGTTATGCAGTGAGAGTGGGGAGGCATATCATAAGGCACTGTTTGCTGTGCACTGTGCTAAGTGCTGAATAGATTTCATCTCCTTTGCTCAGTGACGCATGCTATCATTCCTATTCTGCAGCAAACTGAGACTCCAGGAAGTGAAGAGGCAGAGGCAGCGTTCAAACCAGCCCCTTCTCATTCCTGAGCCCTCTGCCTTCTTAGTGCTCCACAACCCGGGACCCACCCACCCTGCCAGGCTGCACCTTCTCACTTGGGGTCTGGAGGATGAATGGCACTCTTCAGTGTTGAATGCAGAAATCCAGGACCCTCCATACCGGGGAGACTTTGGAGGTGGCAATCCTGTTGAGTAAAAGCTGGCCCTGGCCAAATAGATTTTTTTTTTTCTTGCCTTGTGAGTTGTGTGACCACGTGGCACAGTAGTCAGAAGCAGCCAAGGGCTCTGAAGCCGGACTGCCTGCGTTTAAATCCTGTTCTGTCATTTGCTGGCTGCATGACCTTGGCCCCTCTGTGCTTCCGTTTTCTCATATTTGAAATGAAGGGAGAGGACTAGACATTGTAAACCATACAAAGCCTGAGCATGCTTGGCATGTAGTAAGTGCATAACAAATGTTAACACGTGTTGTCAGGAAGGACCAGTCCCTGGAGAAGGACATCATGCTTGGTAAAGTGGAGGGTCAGCAAACAAGGGGGAGACAGAGCAGCACAGTGTAGTAACAGTGGGCTCAGACATAACAATTGTGAGGATTGTGCAGAACTAGGCAATATGCTGTGCATGGGGTCATTATGAGTCAGAACTGACTCAATGGCACCTAACAACAACAACAGAGGGTTTAATTGTCTTTCTATTTCTATATCAAAGAGGCTGCTTCCTTCTCTGTGTCCAGAACCCTGGAATGTAACAGACAGCTGGGAGCTGCCTGACACATTTCTGTGCCCAGAGCCTCCTGGCACTTCCTGGGTATACCCCATCCCACGTTCCTGGGGGCTGCCTCTTTGTCCACTCGTCTTTCTTCTGCACCTCCCCCTGCCCCTCAGTGGGTACTGTCCAGGTTCCCCTCAGCAACTTTTCTGAGTTGACTTTCCCAGCTTTCCAGCCACCAGCGGTCCCCTAGGTGACCTTGACACTGCGGCAAGTCTAACAATAAACCATCCCTCAAAGCTGCTTCCCTTTCCATCTCCCTATTTCTCTTCACTGCAGGGACTGAGCCTCTGATTTCAGAGTCACTTTGATTCCCCAGCCATCTCAGTATCCAATTGGGTATACGTCTTGCTCTGTGGCATTCTTCCCCTTGTATCTCTTCTTTTCTTTCCATACTCCAGCCATATCCCAGTGTCAGACTCTGTCACATACATCTGGGCTATTTATTGTTTCATCTCTAGGTGGGCATCCTCACCTGTAACTCTGCCCCCCTCTAGTTTCATAGCCTTAAAGCAATGCTCGGCTCACAACTTCAGGTGCTGCCTGGACAAAGCTCAGTATCCTCAGCCTGGCAATTGTATATCACCAAACCTTTCCAGCCTGGCCATCTGTGACTCCCTCACTGGAACCCTCTGCTCCAGCCAGGTTGTCTGGACATTGTTCCCTAGGGCAGTGTCCCGAGCATGTTCAGACACTTAACTTGGTAGCTGTCATTGCTTAACAATTAGAAGAGCAACAGATCTTGACCCTTACATTCATTCACTGAGTGACTACACTGGCTTAGATTATGGAGTTCCACAAAGGTACAAGACATGATGTCTTGTTCTTGCAGACCTTACAGAACCTGTGAAGAGATCACACACACACACACACACACACACACACACACACACACACACAGATGAGCAAGGCAGCATCACCCACATGCCAGGTGGTTGCACTGGTATTGGGGAGATGTCAGGCACAATGTGGGCATTACGTTAGACCTGGAGCCAATTAATGGAGAGAACTAAGGGGATGAGATTCTGAGAGCTCAGCCTCCCAGGCAGAAATGTATTCTGTGCTTGTGAGCAGGTAAGAGACTGGTTTGGCTGAGGAGTAACAGGCTGGAAGGCAGTGAGTATAAGGCTGGGGATAGAGCTGGGAGCCAGAGGGGAAGGGAGACACTTTATTGTGAAAAAAAGACCTTTTCTTCAGGCAAATATTCTAAGTTACAGATTTTTCCTATGAAATCTTTTATAAGCCAAAATAACTTAAAGCAAAGAAACAATTACCATTAATTTTTGAGTGTTCTCAGACCCTAAAAGTAACCTACCAAATCAGACCAAACAACCTACAAAACCAACTCGCACAGTGTTCACATAAGATAGTGTTCACAGACGTAGTTGAGAACTACGCCTGGTTCCAGGGAAGAAGCATGGTGACCACTCTCATTGCTCAGAGTCTGTGCTGCCCCTTGAATGAATGTCTGCAAAACAAATACCCAATGCTAGCTTCATTTTTCACCTGCTTCTTTTTTGTAAAAGTGAAAATCTTCAGAATTCTTTCAGTGAGCAAAACAAAAACCAAAAACCAGGTAAACAGTGGGATAAAACAGTGGGATGAAGCAAACTTTCAAAAAGCAGGCATTATCTGTGCTTGGATTTTCGTGGGAGATAACTGAAAATTCATGGAGCCTCCTATGCACTTTGAAAATGTGGTTACAATGTGCTATGCCTTGCAAACAGCATGCAATTGGGAAGCAACTCAAGAGTCTGTAGGGTATAATTCTGGTGTCTATTGTTTAAATTAACTAAATTATTTTCCAGGAAAATCTTAAACGGCTAAGAGAGAGTATCACCCGAAGACAGAAAGAGAAGCAGAAAACAGGGAAGCAGGCAGGTATGAGCTTCAGCTGGGAGGAGGCTGGGATGGAGTGGGGGGTGGGCTGCATTGTGTGGATCTCTACTGCAACCTATTCCCCTTACCTACCCTTTCTGCTGTAGCCTGAGTGGGCAGCCCGCTTACTTAGCACCGGTCACCCAGTTTGTAGTCTGTGTTCCACACTAGACTCTGAGGTCCTTGCAAGCTGATGTATTCTGAATATCAAGTACCTAGTGCATTGTTGTTAAGTGCCTTCAAGTTGGTTCTGACTTATAGCGACCCTAAGGTTTCCAAGGAGCAGCTGGTGAATTTGAATCACCAACCTCCCCATTCAAACTGACCTTGAGGTCCAATGCATTATCTCACAGCGCCACACCAAATAAGTGAATGAATGAAGGAGTGAATGAATTGAACTCCGCCATATTCCAGCTTCCCAGTCAACGAGAATGACAAGTCTTTCTCCCCAGGCACTGACTCTCCTTTTGTCATTCTGGAGGGCATGTGCTTTTGAGCAGATAAAGGAGAAAACTTCATTGTCATAGTGTCTGGATCTAACTCAAGTGGGGAATCACATCCCAGGTGTCCATACCTCACACTGCCTCAGGGGCCAAGGACGGGGGCAGCAAAGCTCCTGCCATCTAAAAGGAGCCAGAATTCTAGCTGTGTACCGTAGACCGGGCCCCTCTGCTCTCTTCAGGCCACCCTCCTCTAGGGCTACCCACATGTCACCACCATCCCTGAGCATAAGAGGGTGGTGTTGGCCCACGCTGCATAGTCCCACTGAGCCCCTCTGGCGTTCTGCTTTACCCAGGGAATCATGTAGCAAGAGGAGCTCTGAAGAAAGGCTTCCCACTACATAGAGAACTGAGTTGATGTTGAGCTCCATCTGTGCACAGCTTCCATGGTCTCCAGCTGCCATTTGTGCTTAGACTTTCCATGAACCTGGTCAGGCTGGTAACATGTAACACCTTCATCCCCAAACAGGACATCTACCTCCTATAGAACCCTGTTCACGCCCCTTCCTTCGCACCCATATGAAAACTGCTGGGCTGTGAGAGCTAGCCCCTTCTCTGTGATGCCGTTTAGGACTACTTCAGACCATTGATGGCATCTGTTTTAGTCAGGGGTCTCTAGAAAAACAGATCCAGTAAGACATACACATGTCTGTCTTCAAAATATTTGTGGAAAAATTCCACTATCCTTTTATTCCTTTGCTTTTCCACACAGACTTTTTGAAGCCTCCTCAAATGTCTTTGAACATATTTTGTTTAAATGTGCTTATTGGCTGTTTGTACTGATATTTCTTTGGAGAAATACCTTTTCAAGTCCTATGCCTATTTTTAAATTGGGATGTTTGTCTTTTCATTGTTGAACCATAGGAGTTCCAATGACCTTTGAAACATGAAAATCGAACACTACTATTCCCTTACTCACAACCTTATGGGAGCTCCTGTGACACTCAGTAAAATGTAAACTTCTCCCCATGGCCTGCAAAGCTTTACAGGATCTGACCCCCGAGCTCAGCCCCAACTCTCCACCTCCACCCTGGACTCCGAGTCACAGTGAACTTCTTTTTGTTGCTCAAATAAGCCAAGTGCTTTCCTGCCTCATTCCCCCTCACCACTCCCCCTGCAACTACTCTTCTTCCCATGCCTTTCCCACTTCTTCACAGGGCTGCCACTTCTTCATCCTTCAGAATTAGCTTGAACATCTCCTCCTCAGTGAGGTCTCTTCTGCATTTCTATCCTGAGTAGATCCCATTGACTCACTTCTTGTTCACTACTTCCCCTCTTTCCAGAGCACTTATCATGATCTGGAATCAGCTGATGCGTCCGTTTTTGTGGTCTCCAAGCCACTAGACTGTAAACTCCATGAGGACAAGAGACTATCGATATGTGCCCTGTTGGGTCCCAGTAAAGTACAGTACCTTGATGGAGAGCTCAGGATATCCTTGTGAAACATTTAGTGACTGCAGCAAAGTATGTGTAGTGACACCATTCATTCATTCCACAAATACTTATTGAGCGCCAGGCTCCCTGTGGAATGCAGAGATTTTTGTTGTATAGCAACTTATGAGTTAGTTGCCTTCTGATTTGTCTAGGTCTGATTTCCTCTACTCTGGGTGCTATGGCTTATTCCAGTTGCTATGTCCCGCCATACCTGGCACAGGGTGACTGTTACAAGGGTCCAGTCCATAACCGATCATGTGGAGGGTACAGGACCGGACAGTGTTTTGTTCTATTATACATGATGTTGCCATGAGTTGGGGGTCGACACTATGGCAACTGACATAACAATTGAATATTAGTGACATTAAACATTTGGGAAATGAGGAATTAAGAGGTTATGACCACCAAAGAAAATCAGAGGCCATCCTAAGACTTCTGCTTGGGTGTTTCGATTTTCCATTGATTGTGCTACTAACCAAGCCTACACTTGCCTACCCTCCTAGTTAAGAGGAGGAAGGTGAAGAGAAGGCAGAGAATCTACTTCAAGCTCTTCACAGTCATCCTACGGTCAGACTGTAGGGCTCTAGGTGATAAAATGGTTGAGGTGCATTTTAAGGTGCTTGTGAACTCAAAGACAGAAGCCTTGATTAAATGAGACGTTTCAAGCATTTAAATACAGGCATCTTCAAGAGCCCTGTGATTTGGTGGTGCACCGGCATTTGAAGTCCAGGGAGTCGTGCTAAAATCATGGGTGTTCAGCAATCTGGACTTGAGAGCTGGGCTAACCAGGAACCGTCACACATTCTCTAACCCCTGCCTGGTGGGCTCTCCTTGAAACAGACATGTATGTGATGAGGAAGAGGGTTCTGGGCATGGACCTTGGGGCCAGCAGGCTGGGGTCAAATTCCTGCTCATTCTTCACTTCTCATTAGCTGAGAACTGTGGCCAAGATCCTTTACCTCCTTGAGCCTCAGTCCCCATCTGCAAAATGTCACCAATACAAGTTCCAACCACAGTAGGGTTTCTGTGAGGATGGAATGAGCTAGGGTATAAATGGTACCTACCACCAGCCACAGACTCCTGGTTTAAAGCTGTTGGATCCGCACTGGATTTCGAACCACAAGGTCTGCAGTTCAAACCTACCAGCTACTCCTTGGAAACCTTGTAGAGGGTGGTTAACAGTCAGAATCGACTCCACAGACTTAGCAACAACAACAGCACAGTGCCTGGCATGTAGGGACACTCTGGTAACTACACACAGGGCCACACACCAAATGGTGCCCCGCGGGCGGGAAGTCTCAGGGACTCACCTCCCCGAGCTCTGGAGTCATAAGTTTTGAAACATAAAGTTCATCCAAAGGCAATCAAACTCAGTAAATGATTTATACCTACCACTGACTGTAGTCTAAATTAGGATGGTCAATGTCTAAATTTTCCCAAAGGAGCATGATTTAGCTTGTATCCCATTCCCCTCACTCCTCAAAGCAGATCCTCTGACAAAGATTTGAGAGCAATTTGCTTATATGGGAAATGATCCTAGGGAATCCTGAAGGGGCGGCCAGCCAAGTGCAGTCACTACTTTGGTATCTGGACCTTCATCTTGCCGGGGACTCTGGGAATCATTGCAGAACACCTGCCTCAGAGGGGCAGAGGGCTGGGCTGTGTATACTCAGACTCCCTCTCAGCATTGATGGAGGTTCTCAATCTGGTTCCAAAGGAAGCCTCGGGCAGTTGGAAGGCAGAGCCCTGCACTGCCTGGGGAGGCATGAGGACACCCACTAGAGAGCGGGGCATCACGTAGGTTGAGTAAGTATGATATATTAGTTAACCAATTTAGTTACATGATCATTTAGAATTACCAGGTAAGGAACCCTGTTGGCAATGCTAACCATGTAGGTCGACACATCAAACTCACCAATCACTGCCCAGGAGAGAGAAGAGGCTGTTTGCTCCTATAAAGATTTTCAGCCTGGGAAACACCATATAGGGTCACTATGAGTTAGATATAATAACATTAAGGTATAAAAGATATAACATTAAGATACCAAAAAGATATAACGTTAAGATATAAAAACATTATATAGGGTCACTATGAGTTAGAAATAACAACATTCTTATCAATGGAGAAAAAATTGAAGTTGTCAAGGACTTCATTCTTCTTGGATCAACTATCAACACTCATGGAAGCAGAAGTCAAGAAATCAGATGACGTATTGCAATAGGCAAATCTGCACAAGACTTTTTTCAAGTGTGAAGAGCAAAGATGTCAGCTAGAGGACTAAGGTGCTCCTGACCCAAGCCATGGTATTTTCGATAACCTCATATGGATGCGAAAGCTGAACAGTGAATAAGGAAGAACACAGAAGAATTGATGCATCTGAGTTATTGTGTTGGAGGAGAATACTGAAAGTGCCATGGGCTGCCAAAAGAACAAACAGATCTGTGTTGGAAGGAGTGCAGCCAGAGTGCTCCTTGGAGGCCAGGATGGCCAAACTTCGTCTCTCATACTTTGGATATATTGTCAGGAGGGACCAGTCACTGGAGAAGGATATCATGTTTGATAAGGTTGCGTAGTGGTTACAAATCGGGTTGCGAACCACAAGGTCAGTAGTTCAAAACTACCAGCTGTTCCTCGGGAGAAAGATGAGGCTTTCTGCTCCCGTAAAGATTTACAGCCTCGGAAACCCGGTACAGGGTCGCTATGAGTCGGAATTGACTCCACGGCACACAACAACAACAACAACAAGGTGGAGGGTCAGAGAAAAAGAGGAAGACCCCCAACGAGATGGATTGGCCAAGTGGCAGCATCAATGGGCTCAATGTGGCAACAACAGTGAGGTTGGCCCAGGATCGGGCAGTGTTTCGTTCTACTGTGCAATTGGTCGCTCTGAGTTGGTACCGACTCGATGGCACCTAACAACGAGTTAGAATCCACTCAGTGGCAATGGGTTTGTTTTGGTATTTTCGGTTAAGGACTCTTGGTGACACAGTGGGTTAAGCATTGGGCTGCTAACCAAAAGGTGATGGTTAGAACCTACCAGTTGTTCCCTGAGAGGAAAATGAGACAGTCTTGCTTTGATAAAGATTTACAGCCTCTGAAACCCTGTGGAGCGGTTCTACTGTGTCCTGTAGGGTCACTATGAGTTGGAATCTATTCAACAGCAGTGGACATTCCAGGAATTTTCACACTGAGTTCCTTGAGGTGCCTCAGGGCTGCTCTATGTGCTGTTGTTGAGGGGGTGGTGTTGAGAAGATGTTGAGAGTAGAGGAAGGTGGGGAGTCAGGGGTGAAGGGATGGGCTGGATTCAGATTGAGACACAGCGGGCAGTTAGGGTTAGGGGTAACTTACTCTGCTTCTACCATCATAAATCACAACTGGAGTCCACAATAGTGCTGGGTAGGTTCGGACCCCAACCTTTAGATGAGCAAATGAAGAGCTAACCATTTGTGCCACCCAGGGCTTCTACCATCAGAGCTCCTTTAAGAAATCTGTTCTTCATATTGAGCTTGTAAGAGGAAAGAATTCTGCTTCACAAGAAACAAAAAAGCAGTTGAAAACCATTGCTATCTGGTAATACTGACCAGTAGGAAGATTAGAGCTGATGAATGTCATTTCTGCTTGAAGGACCTTTCCCAGGACTGCAATCCACTCTAAATATAAGTCTGACTCTATTAATTTGGAAATCTCATTTGACTTAGAAAAGAAGAATAAAAGAATATTTTCTATAATTTGGATTAGTTTACCAAAGGTCATTAAAAACTCAGGGTATACTCATAATCATTTGCCAGTCTTTCTTCAGGCCTAGGGAACTGTTTTGCCTTTCCTGGGAGGATGCAGAGCTTCGATGGCACAGGAAATCAGAGGAGGACTGGTGTGACTCCTGACTTAGGGATGTTCATGTGTGTTTGACTGCCCTGGCCCACAGAGAAGACACTATTGGTGTTCTGGGTGTGTCTGTGAGCAGTCTTGGGCAGGACAGAGGAGCTCGCTGGACCCCAGCACTCTGGGTTCTGATCCCTGTTCTGTCATTGAATCACTTGTCATTGACTCCGGGGCGATTCTGCAATTCCTTTAACCACAGTGTGCCTCACTTTCCTCATCTGTGGTTATACCTGAAGCTCAAATAAATAGGACAATGGATAATTATTATTCCTGTTGGTGGATCTCTTTTCAAAGAACAACAGAATTTTATAGACATTTGGATGGGCTTTGATTTTTAAAAATTTGGACCCCCCTTTCCCCCCTGTACAGGCAGTCTTGTACTTGCTCTTTATTATTCTGTAAATTGACCCTCATTTTGAAATGATTGAACCAATCCCTACTCACAGCTAATGCTTTAAAATCACCTTCACATGCTGCGCATACGTGCAGCCTTTGAATCATTAAAAAAGCTTCGAGCCTTTTCTTGTATTCAAGTAAGGCTAAATAAGAACTGTATGCATTTGTTTGACTTATCGACACCCTGAGGAATGGACCTTGCTTGAAATCCAAAGGCTACCTATATGAGTATATTCTACCTTGCTTCTTCATAGAACTGGTTGACCTCATTAAAGTTAATTAAGTAGACAAGAGTCTTTCTTAAACAGGTTGTTAAAATAAAGCTAGGTCAGACTATTCTCTGTTCAACATTCAATGGGGGCTTTCACTGCACAGTTGTAACCAAGGAAACTCTAGGACGTGAAACAATCTGCATTACACAAAGACCTGAAAAGTTGCTCTATACTTGAGCCACCTGTCAGATTGGGAATGAGGAGAGCTAGTATTTACATAAGCCAACAATCCACACTTTAACAGCCCTGATGAAGCCCCACCCACTGTATGACTTGGGCTGCCCTGACTTGGAACGTGCTTTGTTAAAAATGTTCTAGTTTATACATTTACCTGTCTTGGCTGACTTCTGGCTTTGGCAAGCTAGAGCCACCTCTGGACTCTCTGAACTTCCTGCTGCACCCTCCTCATGGAAGGGATGAGATGGAGGAGGAAGTGGTACTGTGACAATAAGAGCCCAGGCTCCCAAAAGTCCAGCTCAGCTTATACCCCTTCTAGAGACCCTGCCCCCTGGGTTTAGGAAAGTCCTCTATAGTGAGAGGGTTTGTGTGTGTGGGTTTGTTATCACTCTCATTGTATTCTTTTCATCATCAGAGGTTTTTCTGCTCACAGAGCCCAAGGGTGGAAATCTAGGGAAGAAAAAAGAGAAACCACTGGGCAGGGTTGGCTTGTTAATACTTTGCATTATGGGCGCTAAACCCATCAGACAGCCTTGCAAGTTCCACTTAATCATTCACAGGCCTGTTGGACCTGCTTCCATGAGCTCTGTTTCGCTCTGAGTCATTGCTATTCATTGTGGACCCATGAGGCACTTTGGAGTAGTGGTTAAGAACCTGGACTTTGGAACTTGAGTTCAAATCCCAGCTCCCCTCACTTACCAGCTGTGTGACAGGGGCATGCTATTTCACTTCTTTGTACCTCAGTTTCTGCTGGGAACAATGATAATAGTGCTTACTTGAGGAGTTTGTGAGGATTAAATGAGCTCAAACCATGGAAGCACTTAGAGCTGTGCCCGATGCATGGAAATCAACCAAGCCCAATCCATTGCCATCAACTCAATTCTGACTCATAGTGACCCCATAGGACGAGTAGAATTGCCCCATAGCTTCCAAAAATGTAAATCTTTACAACAATAGACTTCTACATCTTTCTCCTGTGGAGTAGCTTGTGGATTTAAACCACTGACGTTTTGGTTAACAGCTGAGCACTTGACCACTGCACCACCCGAAGCTCACCCTATAAGCATAATCAATGATACATGCAGCCACACTCCTCAAATAAGGGCAGTAATTCAGAGAGGCTGACTGAGCTAGTCAACTTCCACAGCTGGTGACAAATATTCCCTAATCCCATAGTCTTTCCATTATTCTCTGTTCTAAGGAGCACTGGTATGAATTGGGCTCTGGTATGAAGTAGTTATGAATTGGGCTGCTAACCTCAAGGTCAGCAGTTCAAAACTACCAGCTGTTCTGCGGGAGAAAGATGAGGCTTTCTTCTCCCGTAAAGATTTACAGCCTCGGAAACTCTGTACAGGGTCACTGTTAGTTGGAACCAAATCCACGGCACATAACCACTGCCACCGTTCTCTGCTCTTGATTGGCACACAGGATTCTGTAGTTTCAGTACTTAGTGGTGCATGGGTCCTGTTCATAAGCTAGTCTAGGGTTCCCTCTCCTCCTGTTTCCCTCCCTACTTTCTCTCTCTCTCCTCTCGTTCCTCTGCTTCCCTCCCCACTCCATACCTTCCAGGTTCAGGTAAGGGAGGCAGGTGGAGAGGCTGCCACTGAACAGTTTGGTAAATGGTACTCTGGGGTCCTGGAGCTCATCCCTCTTTTCCTCTAATTGCAGACCTGGAGATCACAGTCCCAATTCGGCACTCCCAGCACCTGTCTGGGAATGTGCAGTACGGCGTCTACGAGAGTGGCCCCCGGAAAAGCATCATTCCTCTCAGAACAGAGCTAAGACGAGGAGACTGGAAAACAGACAGTACCTCTAGCACAGCAAGTGAGCAGGGCTGAGCAGCTGGGGCTTGTGGGCCTGTGCAAACATTCTGTTGTGAGCCCTGGAGGTCTCAACTGGAGCTGGTTTGGGTGTGAGAGGTGTAAGGCCTGAGAACATCCCACCAATGCACTCTGTTGTCACGGGGCAAGCTTCCTGTACGCAGATACTGCCAATGCGAGATTGCATGAGAGTTATTTCTCGATTCCTTTTATGAACAGCACAATCTAATAATAGTAATTGTTGTTGTTGTTTAGTTGTTGAGGGCTGTCAAGTTGGCTCTTACTCATAGCAACCCTGTCTAGGGTTTTCGAGGAGCAGCTGGTCAGTTTGATCTTGTGCTAGCAGCCCAGTGCGTATCCTACAGCACCACACCAAGACTTTAAAATAATAATGTCGTTGTTACATGCTGTCGAGTCAGTTCTGACTCATACCAACCCTGTATTGGGTTTCTGAAGAGCAGCTGGTGAGTTTGAACTGCCAACCTTGTGGTTCAAACAGACCTTGCAGTCCAGCCCATTGTCTTGCAGCGCCATACCAATAGTTGACATTTATTGAGCCATTCCTATTTGCTCTGCCTCTTCTATAGATTGATTTAATTCTCCTGATAACTATAAGAGATGTACAGTGGCCTTTGTTTCCCCCTGAGGACATTGGAGTCTTAGTGCCTTGCCCTAGTTTCAGGGCTAGGTTAGTGGTAGAGCAGGAATGTGAACTCAGGAAGTCTTCCATTGCCTCCCACCTGTGGCAGAACCAGGACTTGGAAACAGGTTCATTCTAGTTCTAACCCCTGCTGAGAATTTGCATTACCTACTAAGTCAGATTCTACATATGAGCAAGATACCCAGTTGATTTGTACAGATTCCTAGGCGATTCTTGTATATGAATGAAATTCAATATGGTAGTGGTGGTGTGCTGTGGAGTCAGTTCTGACTCATAGCCCCCTTGTATAGCCTTTCTGAGGCTGTAAATCTTTACGGGAGCAGAAAGCCTCATCTTTCTCCCATGGAGCAACTAGTAGATTCCAACTGCTGATCTTGCTACAAGGGCTCTTTGAAATTCAGTGTATCTGGGGTGAAAGGCAAATTTTCAGCAGGTGGTCAAACCGGAATGAACTGGTTCAAAGCCCTGGGTAGAAATCCTACAAAGTCAGAAAACAACAGTCAATTTTGAGAATCTTGACTTCACAGCCGCTCTGAGGGTCTAATTAGGAGATGTCTCCTTTTGACTGAAAAGCTTGAATAGGAGTCTGATTGCAACAGCCAATAGAGGCTGCCGTGCAGGCAGAGCCGTGGGCTTTGTTCTGTACTCAGGGTGGTGGTAGCGGACTCTGAATGCACTGGCTTCACAAAGCAAATAGATTGAGTTTTCCTTCTTTTATACATTTGGTTGTCATCATCAAAATACCAAAGAAAGCTACAGAAGAGCAGAAGAGAAGCTGAATTCCAAGGCCATCTGACCTATGGGTTCTTAATCATTTTTTTATCACAAATCCCTTTGATAATCTGATATATGCTGTAAATGTACCTCCCAGAAAAATTCACATGCATGTGTATGTACACTACTACACTACATACACAATTTTGTCCGTCCATGGACTTAAGAACCTCTAAACTGGTCTCTTACTGTGTAGATGGGATATTGCAATCCAGAAAGGGAGTTTTGTTCAATGTCACAAAGCCATTATGGTGATGGGGATTCAGGCCCAATGCCTCATTATAACTTTAATGTACTGAGATGTCAGCAAGCAAATGACTGATCCAGGAAGGAAAGATGGCAGGGCAGTGAACCAGGGGAGCCAAGGTTCAGAGCCGAATGTCAGAGGTTACAGATTTAAGAATATGAAGGGAAGGGATCATGGAACCTAGTGAGTATGAATTTCTGGAGCCATAGAGCCAATGCCTAGGACAGTTTTTCACTCCCTAGAAGAGAGCCTTTGGCTTCATCGTGAACTATAAGCCGTGATGAAGGACGTTGGAAGATTTAGCCGCAGAAGGATGGGGCCTCATGAGTCAGAGGGGTTACTTCTTTTGGGAAGTCCAGGGAAGGTTTTCGTAGCATTTGTCCTGAGCATTGAAGACTGAAGAGTTTTCAGACTTGTGCAAAGGGGTGGCCTGGGAGGAGGGAGAATGAACAAGTGAACAGTTTGGGGTGTAGTTAACAGTGAATGTAGTTTACACACTCCTTGGTATGTAAATTCAAAATCCCTGGGTTTATATTATAATCCAAAATTAGAATTTTGATCTGCTCTCATCTAAATTAATTAGAATTTGAAATCATAATAAAGTCACAACAAAGACTTTTTTTGCAGTTGTTATACATGAGCATGAGTCAAAAATTATATAAAAATTATCTGCACTCTAGCTGTAGAATTTATTTCAATCAACTTTTAGAAAAGACAAATACATTATTTTTCAACATAATCTCCTTACTTTTCAATACACTTTGTCTGTCTGTCAACAAGCTTTAGTATTCCCTTTATTAAAAAATGTTTTAGGCTGAGCTTTGAGCCCCAAATGCACCTCTGTCTTCACTTCTTCATCAGAGGTGAACCTTCATTCTCAAAGGCTGCTTTCAGGGGACCAAATAGGTGAAAGTTCGATGGAGCAAGATCAGGACCATAGGGAGGATGCTTTAACACCTCAAAACGAAGTTTTTGCAGAGTGTCAACAGTGAGGGCAGATGTGTGGGGACGTGCATTATCATGAGAGATCACAAAGCCCTTGGATAGCAGTCCTCTGTGTTTAATCTGAAATTTGGACTTCAACTCTTCAGTGAGCATCTCACTGTAACGAGCAGTGTTGATTGTTGAACATTTTCCCTCATAGTGTGATCAAATACTGACCCTTGAGAGTCCCAGAAAACTGCAAGCATTAATTTTCCAGCTGATGGTTGGCTTTTGAACTTTTTCTTGGTCAGTGACTGAGAATGTTTCCATTCCATACTCTGCCATTTACTCTCAGGCTCATAGGGATGAATCCATGTCTCATTACCAGTAATGATGTTTAAAAATAAATTTTTTTACCTTCCTTTGAGTATCCTTTGAATTTTGTTTGCAGATGTCCACAGTCACACCTGCACAGCAGTGACCTTGAGCAAAAAGCACTGCTAAGACAGTGCAGCCAACAGAAGTTTTCATATAACTGGAGTGCAGATAAATTTTGATTCTCTTGTATACACGCTGCTGCTGCTGTTGCTGCATGCCATCCAGTCAGTTCTGACTCAGAGACCTGGGTTTTCGAGGTTGTAAATCTGCCTGGGAGCAGAATACCTCATCTTTCTCCCTCAGACAGGCTGGTGGATTCAAATTGTTGACCTTGTGGTTAGCAGCCCAATGCATAACCCACTAGGCTACAGGGCTCCTTTTATATACCTATAAATGAATGTAATTATGAGCTGCTTTGGATGTGGCAAATCAGCAAGCCTAACGTATGGCAACACTGTTAGAGGCACATTGATGTAATTACTGTGTTAGTCAAAATCTCCTCGTTATGTTGGTCAGCTTTGATTCTTCCTTCCTTATTTGCTAGATGCCCATGTGTTTGAGTTTATTTTAATATTGTGCTGTTCAACAAGGTCTCCGCTAGCCACTGTGGCAATTTAAATTTAAGTTTTAAATAGAACTTGAATAAAATTTAAAATTCTGCTCAGTTTCACTAGCCACCTTTCATACTGGCTGCCATGTTGGATAGGGAACAATGGAACATTTCCACAAAGTTCTATTCAACAGCACTGTTCTAATGATACAGGTGATAAGTTCCCAACTCAAAAAGCCTTGAGACCCAAAACTCACACAGTCGCAATTCCTATCATGAACATTATAGTTTTGAATTTACGCTTTGTGTCAAGCTGCCTGACCCCTTACTCGAAAGTGTGTGTGTGTGTGTGTGTGTGTGATGCGTGCTCATGCTTGCTATAAATCCGAAATAAGTGAAGAATGACAGCAACGGAATTTGTTTGCAGAGTTTAGAAGAAACAACTGGGGATTAGAGCACCTCTGCTTCCTTGCTGTCAAATGGGTTTTCATTGGTATTCGATGCAATCATGGCTTGAAAGCAGCCTCAGTAAATGGTCGCTATATTGAAAAACGGTAATCAAAAAAATGGGACTATTTCATTTGATACTGAAAGAAAAGCTGAACTCTACTTTTAAAAATCCCATATTCACAGCTTATGCATTGTTCCTATTGGTAAAAATAACTATGTGTGAAAGTTCTGCATTTTATTTTAGACTGGGAGAGTACACAGTCTATGTGGCTGATTTTGTTTTCACCCATTAGGCAGCGCCAGTAACCGGTCCAGCACACGGAGCCTCCTCAGTGTGAGCAGCGGGATGGAGGGGGACAATGAGGTGAGAGTCGGGAACCCCACTCCCACTTACCTCATCTAGTCAGGGACCACTTCAGTGTAAGAAACGGAAATCCACTCAGACTAGCGAAGCCAAAGAAGGCATCTGTGGGAAGGAACTGGGTGAGTCTTGAGGGAGCCCAGGACCTCAGTCAGCAGCTCTGAGGCCATTGCTCCCCGTGTGTCCCCAGAACAACGTGCTCTGATATCTCTGTTTCTCGCTGGATGTCCGCTGCTGCTTCTCTCATTGAACACTGACTTTTCCACTTCTCCATGCGCAACAAGGCTTTTGAACAGATTTACCTCTGACCCCAAACATAGGCCCCAGACCAATTTAGCTAACTTTGGGTCAGGTTGTCTCCCTGATCCAGTGAGCAGTGGCTGAGATGAGTGAGACTGTCTGCTACCAACCCATCAGATTCCCTGAAGAAGGTCTGAATACTAACTCCTCTAGTACCCAACTTGTGGGTCACTCACAGTTCTGTTCCTCAAAAAGCAACATTTGTTTAAACATAGGTTTTCTCAGCTTTACCCTGGTTATGAAATAGTTAACGTGCTAAGTTGCTAACTGAAAGGTTGGAGATTCAAGTCCACCAGAAGTGCCTTGGAAGAAAGACCTGGTGACCTACTTGAGCCAAGCCAGCCATTGAAAATGTTTTTTTACTCTGATACACATGGGGTCACCATGAGTTGGAATCGACTCAATGACCACTTGTTTTTTGTTTTTCACCTTAGTTATATAGAACCAAATTTCTCAAGCTTCAATATATATAAGAATTACCTAGAGGTCTTGTTAAAATGCACATTCTGGTCTAACAGGTCTGGGGAGAAGTTCCAAGGGAGGCTGCTGGTGCAGGTCTTCAGTGATGTTAGGAAAGTTGCTTGGATATTGCTGGATGGTAGCCAGTCAGTTTATGCATAACTTTCAGCCACACCTGAGGAAGGCTGAGGAGCTGTGGAGATAACTGGTGTCCAGCTATACTGGCTGCTTAATGTAATTTTCACTTTTCTTTCTCATCTGTTTGCTGTAGGATAATGAAGTTCCCGAGGTTATAAGAAGTCGTAGTCCAGGCCCCCAACAGATAGATGGAATGCCAACTGTGCCCCTTGAAAGACCCCCCAGGGTACCTCCTCGAGCTGCTTCACAGAGGTAATACTGAAACTGATTATGAAATTGTTCCTCACTTTCTGATTTCCAGGGGAGAGTAGGATTTGGGGATATCTAAGATGCGGTGCTGTAGGATAAGCAGTGATCTACTCACTGCAAGGTCCGTGGTTCAAACCCACCAGCCACTCCTCGGAAACCTTATTCAGGGTCTCTAAGAGTCAGAACCAACTTGACAGCACTTAACAACAAAACCAACAACGACAAGATGTGGTGTAGGATCAGAACTGCTAACTGCAAGGTCAGTAGTAGCTCAAATTCAACAGATTCTTCTTGGAAACCCTATGCAGGACTGCTGTGTGTCTGAAGCTACTCAGTGGTACTTAACACCAACAACTAGATGACATAAGAATGGAAATGGAGTTGTGGAAATGCTTAACTTTTGATACTGTAGTTCTGCTGATACTTCATTAATTTAACTGATGCTTTATTCAGTTGCAAATATTTTAAATAGTAAATACATACTCTAGAAATGAAATATATTGATAAACATCAATTATTGAACAATTTTGCTTAGTTTGGCTAGAATTCCGCTCCTTATTAACTAATGCCCTTTGCTGTGTTGTGGGGACTGTTGTTAACACATGCTTACAGGGGAACAGGAGATAAAAGGGTATTTGGAAATGAAACTAAAGTGTGGCATGGTAGTGGGAAGCATGGATCTTGAGCCACAGTACCTGCGTTCAAGTCTCTGGCAGCCAGCCATTTATGAACTTGGATGAACTATGTAACTTTCATGAGTTTCAATTTCCTTGACTATAAAATGGAAATCATAATAGAACTTCTTCAGAGTTGACCAATAGGAAGAAGTCGACAATGTAAGTGATTTTTATATAGGAGAAGAGTAAACAGATGGAGATTTGAAGATGCATATTAGACAACAGTTTGATGAATTGGGCTCTGATGTACATATTTGTTTTATGTGATACTTGGGTCTGCTGGCACCTTTTTAAGATCTTAGGGAGTCACAGGAAGTAGTGTGTCTGCCAGTGGACCAAGGATCCTGTGGGAATAAAAGCGTAGTCTTGTCTGAGGAATTGCATTCTTTGATGTTTAAAATATAATGTGAGCAGGAAAAAAGGATAAGAAAGAGGGAAGCTTTTTTTTAATTTCCAGTAAGGGGTTTTGAATTTTGCAATTTTTAACTCAAATGAATGTCATCAGTAGAATCTGTGCTGAGCAAAGTACAAGGAAGCCTTTCTTCCTGTTTGCTGGAAAGAAGAGCTGACTCTGTGCCGAGTAGGTTTGCATTTCTCTTTTTGCTGTTTCTCACTTTTCTTTGTGCACCCAGCAGTATTCATGTACCAACACTGGTCCCACAAACACCCTACAATTCCAAGCTATATCATATTCACCAGGCTTGTTTTGCACTGGAAAACTTACATTAAAATATGAGCCTGAGAAGGAGCATTACCTATAACCTAGTCCAATCCTCTAAATTTAACTAGTATTTTTATTGTTTGAAAATTATTATATAGTTGATGACGTGGAAGAGACGCTCACGGAGAGGGACTATAGTAATAAATGAAAGTACTATTTGATTACCTTTCATCAGATACTATGCTAAACACTCTAAAGGCATTATCTTATTTAATTTTCTTCATAATCCTTAGAGGCAAATATTTAATATCATTCTATTTTGCAGCTGCAGAAACAGACGCTTCAGACTGGGTTGAGACTTGCTTTGTATGGCAAGTCTAGGTACACCTAACTCCAACCCAGTGCCTTAGTCATTATTTTATATGTGTCCAAGAAAGTCTAGGCATTAAGGGAAGAGATTTAAGATTCCAGACCTTTTTACTGTTGAAGGTTGAGGACTTTGGAACCAGTTGTCTAACTGTAGCAAGGTACAACAGTTGGCAAGCCTGAAATCATAGCGACAGAGATTCAGCAAGATGTTGTTAATGGGAAAGAAAAACAGAACAACCATGGGAGCAGGTTCCAGATATTAAAGGATAGAAACTAAGATGCATTTCAATGTGTAGAAAGACAGCAAACAAATTGTTTTGGAAATCTGGAAGCCTATTGTGATGAAATGATAAAGGTAGGCGAGAAGAACAAGAAACAATTTTTTACTATTGCAACCATGTTCACAAAGAAATCTGTGAGTGATAGAGCTTGGGATTTGGGTGTATTTTAGTTATGAAAACATACTTCTAAATATGCAATCATTTTGTAATATGTATGCATTCTTCACAATAAAGTGAGATCTTTGAGCAGAGAATAAAATGGGCCTCTTTCTTGAATGGCTTAGCTGCCTGATCCACTTTCAGACAGGGAAGGAGGCTAACCTTGGGGGCCTCTCATCTTCCAGCTCTAGAAATTGGCAACTCTTAACTCTTTCTTGGCATGTCAGCATAATGCACTGGACCGCAAGGTTGATTGGAACCACAAAGTTGGTGGTTCAAACCCTCTTGCTGCTCTTTGGAAACCCTATACGGGGTCATTATGAGTTAGAATGAACTCGAAGGCACTTAGCAATAACAGGAACAACCCTCTCTTGAACACCTTGTCTTCTCCCATACAAGGGAGCACCAGAGAATACAGACTTCATACTACTACTCATTTTATCCAGTCCTGGTCCATTTCTCTGCTCACTCTGCATGTTGTCCCCAGAGGAGCTCTGGTAGCGTAGTGGTTACAAGTTGGGCTGTTAACCTCAAGGTCATCAATTCAAAACTACCAGCTGTTCCATGGGCGAAAGATGAGGCTTTCTGCTCCTGTAAAGATTTATAGCCTCAGAAAACCTATACAGGGTCGCTATGAGTCGGAACTGATTCCACGGCACATAACCAACCAACCAACAGTGAAAAACTACAGATCTCCATCTCAGTGTTCTATTTCCTACTGTTTACTGGGGATCTCCACACTGGTACTCTCATCCATCTGTTAGTTTGCTCTACTGTGGTAGCTCGTGTATTGCTATGATGCTAGAAGCTATGCCACCAGTATTTCAAATACCAGCATGGTTATTCATAGTAGACAGGTTTCAGCAGAACTTCCAGATGAAAGCAGACTAGGAAGAAAGGCCTGGTGGTCTCCTTCCAAAAATTAACCAATGAGACTCTTTTGGAGCATAATAGGATGTTTTGTGACTCACTTGCTTTGGACACGTCATCAGTGAGGGATTAATCGCTAGAGGAGGACATGGTGTTTGGTGAATTAGAGGGCCAAGGAGAGCTGAGGAGACCCTCTCTGAAATGAATTGGCACAGTAGCTGCTGTGATGAACTTGAACATGTTGATGATCACAAGGATGACATAGAACCAAGCTATGTTCTGTTGCACATAAAGTTGTCATGAGTTAGTCAACTTGATAGTAGTTGGCTGACTATCTGTCTACACACTGATGTCCCACAGGTATCACAAACCTAAAATGTAAATAATTGCTTTGCCTACAATTTCTTCCCCACATTGCCTTCTCATAAATTCCCAGCCTGAGATAATGATCCCATTCTCTCCCTTCCTCAAGCTCCAGATCTGGAACTCATCTTTGATTCCTGCCTCCCTCGCAGCTCCCACATCTACGGTGTCTACAGGCTCTGTCCATCGTGCTGCCCTTTCAGCTCTCAGATCCACCCCCTCTTCTCCATCTGTCAGTGTGAAGTTCATCATCGTACGTGCCCACACTTATCTCTGCATCCAGCCGATCCCTCCTCCACATTGCAACCAGAGTGCTCTCTCTAAAACACAAATAGCAGATGATGTCACTTCCTGGTATAAAAGCCTTGAAATTTAATTCTAAGATTTTTAGCTTGCCCTGACTCCATCTAACCTCAAGTCCCACTCATCTCCCTTATTCACCTGTACTCCATCCCTTAATAATTCCCCGTGAGCTGTACCATGTTGTACTGCTGAGTCTTTGCCCAATCTTTCACCTGGAATGCTGTCTTCCAGGCAATCTAATCTCTGCTTAGAAAATTTTTACATATCCTCTAAGATTCAGTTTAGACATCCCTTCCTCTATGAAATGAATCCTTTTCTGATGTTTCTATACAAAATACCTTCTTCTGGTTCCACAAACACCTCTACTATAATACATTTCACATTGTGGTCCTTGTTTATATCGTCTCCTCAAGTGGTCAGTGAGCTGTTTCTAAAGTATTTCCATGTTTTTAAATTCATTGAGGCTTGCTTTGTGGCCTAATATTCATTGAGGCTTGCTTTGTGATCTATTCTGGAGAATGTTCCATGTGCACTGGAAAAGAATGTATATTATGTTGTTGTTGGGTGGAGTGCTCTGTATATGTCTATTAGGTTAAGTTGGTTGATTGTATTGTTTAGTTCTTCTGTGCCTTTGTTGGGTTTCTTTCTAGCTCTGTCCTTCATTAAAGTGTTGCACTAAAATCTACTATTATTGCAGAGTTGTCTATTTTTCTCTTTAATTCGGTTAGCATTTGGTTTATGTATTACGGAGCTCTTTTGTTGGGTGCATAGATACTTATTGTGGTCATGTCTTCTTGTTCAGCTGACCCTTTAATTATTATATAATGTCCTTCTTTGACTCTTATGGTGGTTTTGCCTTAAAGTTTATTTTCTCAGAAATTAGTATTGCCACTCCTGCTCATTAATTTGATTATTATTAGTTTCATATATATTTTCTCCATCCTTTGATTTTTAGTTTAGTTTTGTTTTTGTATCTGAGGTGTGTCATAGGCAGCATATTGATGGGTCCTGTTTTCTTATCTATTCTGCTACTTTCTGTCTCTTGTTTGGTGCATATAATCCATTTACATTCAGTGTAATTGCTGATTGGTATGAATTGACTGCTGTTGTTTTGTCGTGTGTGGGTTTGTGTGTGTGTGTGTGTGTGTGTGTGGTGCTGCTGGTATCTTTGCTTCACATAATTTTCTGTGCTAAATTCATTTTGCTTATGGGTTTTCTTGGTTGCTGTTTTAGGGTTTACCAAATCTTTATAATTTTTCTCTTTATTAATTTTTTTAAGAGCTAGGTTACTGATTTTCATTGAGGTTACCCTATAATTTATTAATTTCTTCCCAAGTTTAAAATGATCTGTTCTACCTCTAAATCTACTTGACTTCCTCATAAAGTTTTGTAACTATACTATTATATTGATTCCCTCTATTTAGTTGTGATTTTTGTTGTTGTTACAAACTGCTATCTTCAGTTCCCTATTTTCAGTCTTGTAGGTTTGTTTTACTTTGGATACTTCTATATACGGGTCGGAGCACAGTGTCTCTGTACGATCAATACTGAACTGTGAACCACCAAGTCGGTGACTTGATCCCACCAGCTGCTCTACAGGAAAAAAGATAGGCGTTCTGCTCCCACAAAAATTTATAGCCTCAGAAATCCTAAACTGGCTTCACTGTGAGTTGGAACCGACTTGACAGCACTTAATAACAATGACAACAACATATCTGAGTTGACTTCTGGGTGGTATTATTATGTATGTTAATCTCAGGTTGTTATCTGCTGTTTTTGGTTCTTTGTCCAAAGAATTCTGCTCAGTATTTTCTACAAAGTTCATCTGGGTTTTGCAATTCTTTGAATTTCTGTTTATCTGAAAATGTCCGAATTGCATTATTATATCTAAGGGGAAATTTTGCTAGACATATGCTTCTTGGTTGGCAATGTTTTTCTTTCAGAGTTTAATTTATGTCATCCCATTGCCTTCTTGACCGCATGGCTTCTGCTGAGCAACCAGTGCTTAGTCTTATTGGTTCTCCTTTGTAGATAACTTGTCTGTTCTTCCAAACTGCTTTCAGGATTTTTAACTTGTCTTTGGTTTTAGAAAGTTTGATTATAATATGTCTTGGCATTTTCTTATGGGATCTATGCTATTTCAAGTTAATTCTGCTTCCTGAATGCTTATCTTCTTGTTTTTCATGATGGTGAAATGTTCTTTCAGCGACTTTTCAAAATTTTTGTCTCTTCCTTGTTCTGGAATTCCAATCACATGCAAGTTATTCCTCCTGATGGTGTCCCGTATAATTCTTAGACTTCCTTCAGATTTTTTTGCTCTCTTTTGTGATTGTTCCTTTAATAGGCTAGTATTGAGAAATTTGTCTTCAAGCTCATTAATTTGGCCTTCCATTGATTCAAATCTACTGTGCCCTTTGAATGTATTATCTATTTATGACATCTTAGTATTAATCTGTATTTCTATTTGCTATTTTCCAATTTTTTGTTTATTTTGTCAGTTTATTCTTTGTGTGTTTCCCTGAATGCTTCTAAAATTTTCTCTGTGTTTTCCTTGATTTCATCTGTAACTTTCTTGATCTTTCTCTTGATCGGTTGAAGGTACCTCATCAGATAGTTTAAATACCATTTCTTTCTCAGAAAGGTCTTCTGGCTTTGTACTTTGACCATTTCTTTGATCCACTTTGTCTTGTTTTCTTGTGGAAACTGAAGTGTCTGTTTTCTCTGAGGTATTGTGTGGAGTCATTGTATTTGTATTTAATTGATATTGTATGTTGGTGTGTACTTGATCACTCACCATCTGCCTCCTGGTAGGTGTGATAGACCATGGAAGTGAGTGCACAGTTCTCTGCTATTTGTGTAATGCAGTTTAGGATGAGTTTGGCTGGTCTCGGCTACTGTCTTCATTGTAGGAGTGGCCATTGGCCTTTGCCATGTGGGTTGGGCTGATGGAGGTATGGATATGGTTGGACTGTATGGGCATGGTTGCTGTCTCCCTACCAGTGGGACAAATTAATAAATAAATGAGGAAGAAAAAAACAAACACAACAACAAAGATGAAAATAATAGAGAAAAAGATCAAGAATCAGAAAGAAAAAAGAATTTAATAACTGAAAAGAAAAAAATGGGAAAAAATAAAAACAGGAAAAAATAAAATATAGGGGGGAAAACCCCTCTAAAAAACCCCCAAAAAAAACTGGGGAAGAGGAGAAGAAAAGAAATAAGAGAATGATTGTGGTGGTTATGTGCTGTGGAGTCAGTTCTGACTCATAGCGACCCTATATAGGGTTTCCAAAACTGTAAACCTTTACAAGCAGAAAGCCTCATCTTTCTCCCACATAGTGGCTGGTAGATTTGAACTGCTGACCTTGAAGTTAGCAGTCCAACTCATAACCCACTCTGCTACCACTGCTCCTATATTAAACACATTGTTGTTGCAGTTAAGTGCCTTCAAATTGGTTCCAACTTGTAGTGACCCTGGTTTCTGAGGCTTAAAATCTTTGCAGGAGCAGAAAGCCTTGCCTTTTCTCCTGTGGAGCGGATGGTGGGCTTGAACCACAGGTCTTGTGGTTCACAGTCCAGTGCTAATCATACGAAGCCACCACACTCCCATAGTAAATGCATAGTAGATAAAATATTCGCCATGAGGAAGAAAGGTATAACAAATGAATTTCTATACTGGTGTAGGAGTCCTTGGGTGGTACAAACAGTAAAGCACTTAACTACTAGTGGAAAGGTTGGTGGTTTGAACCGTTCAGTGGTGTCTTGGAAGAAAGGTCTCCAGATCTGCTTTGGAAGATCACAGCCTTGAAGATTCTTTGGTGCACAGTTCTACTCTGACACATATGTGGTCTCAATGAGTTGACATCGACTCAGTGGCAACTGGTAAACCCTTACTTAGGTAACAAGTGGTATCACCTGATTGTGAGTGTCTGTTTGTTTTCACTGCATGAAGCTCACTCACTCTGTGACAACCACACAAAACCATTTATTCACCAGGGCAGGAGGACCTCCTGAGGAGGATATCCATGGCTATTCTTTTCTACTTCTGCCTCTCTCTTGTTCCCAAGACAGCTTCTCTTTTCTTAACTCTTCAGTCATTTCCTTGACCTACGCAAAACTTGTATCCAAGAGGCGTTAGTAAATATTTGCTCACTGATTGATTAAATCCTTAAATGCGTAACTCCAGGGTTACACCATTCAATTACAGTCTCTGACAAAGCTCTCTTTCTTGACTTGTTGACTTGCTTCCAAGAGAATTAAATATTGGTTTTACAGCGCATATGTGGAAATGCTATCTGAAATCATTGAACCTGTCTGTAAAAAGACTCACCCAGGTCTATCTGGAGTATCATTTAGGAGTATCCAAGAATGATATGAAATATCTGGCAAGTGGAGTTCAGGATGACTCACACCTAGAGTGAACAGTAATTCTAGAATGAACTACAGGAAATAGTGATGAGAAGCCAACTTTGGAAGTTCTCAGTTCTATTCCCAGTGGATCCCTTTACTGCAGCATTTCTCTTGCCTAGGTTACTCTATGCTAGAATCACTGGTGGGGTAGGGAACACTCTTAATATATTTTAAGGTTTAAGCCTTTTCTTCTACAGATTATGAGGGAATGGGTCTTGGATGGAGCCTGGGACTTATTGGTATTTTATAAAGCTCCACAAGTGATTCAGGAGTCCATGGCTGATGCAAACAGTTAAGCATTCCACTACTAATCAAAATGTTGTTGGTTGGAATGCGTCAAGGGGTGCTTTAGAAGAAAGGTTGCTGATCTTCTTCCAAAAGGTCACAGTCATTGAAAATGCTCTGGAATGCAGTTCTACTTTGAAGCACATGAGGTCGCCATGGATTGGAACCAATGCATTAGCATCCAGTTGCAAGTAATTCTAAGGGCAAAGACTCATGAGCCCCAGCTGACTTGTCTAGACTCAGAAGTCTATATGTGTGGCCGGCCTCATTAACTGAGGACCATGCAGAGTCTTTTGTCTGCAATAAATTTTGTATGCCTAAGAACTGGCATGGTGCTATAGGACAAGCACTCTGCTAACCACAAGTTCGGCAGTTCAAACCCAGTTGCTCCTTGGAAACCCTATACAGGGTCACTATGAGTCAGAACTGACTTGATGGCACTTAACAACAAGAACTACTTAATCAAATTAGTTTTTTTTAACTTTATTTAAAAATAATTTTAGTGTATTAAATATGTAACAAAAACATTCGTCACTTTAACCAATTTTAAGGGTTCAGTTCAGTGACACAGTTGCATTCACCATATTGGGCAACCTTCACAAAATCAGGTTTTTAATAAAATTACTTTTATCTTTTATTTCAGGCCTCCGACCAGGGAGACCTACTTCCATCCTCCTCCACCTGTTCCACCCAGGGGTCGCTGATTCTACCTCCTAAAACTTGCCTGATCCAGGACTTTAAGACTCATGATTTTCAGCCTGTTAATGATGGTCTTCACGTTGAGTATTGTGGGCATGACTGCTGACCTTAAGATCCTCTCTCATGGCTGATAATGTTGTGGTCCTGCCCTGCTTGTTTGGACTATCCTTGAAGAAGACAATATCAAGGCACGAAGAAGTGAAAAACTAAGGACTTTATTCACCATTGCCAAGTGTATTAACTTTTGTTTGCCAAAAGGATGAAGACTTAGTTGGAATGCTTACCTCTCATTTAGTTTGTCAGAAGTCTAAAAGATTGACCAGAAGTATACTTTACAAGTGATTTGACTGGAGTGCACTTATGTTGTTATTGTTAAGTGCTGTTGAGTTGGTTCTGACTCATAGTGACCCTGCATAGGGTTTCCTCTAAGGAATGGCTGGTGGTTCTGAGCCTCTGCCCTTGTGGTTCTCAGTCCAGTGCTTATCCTACACATTACTATTTGCTAGCTCCAACCTAATATCTAGAAGTGGTTATGATATAAAATTTTTAGTATTAAGATGATAAGTGTCCTAATTTAAATTTTTTTTCTTAACTATGCTATGGATTCAGCAAAGTTTAAATGTCAGGACTGGTCATGTACAACAGGCTGGAAAATAATTTAGAGCGGGATTAGTCCTAATCCCTCCTTATATAGAAGCAAGCCTGATGCTCCTCAGAAATCTAGAGCCAAGGGTACTCAAGCGGGAGAAGTTGCACTAGAATCCGGGTTGTTGACTCTGGGTTATCACATTTCCCACTTTCTATCTCTAAATAACTAATGCCTCTCTCTCAAGAAATGACCCAGATGTAGAAATTCAATCAGAGACTGATTACTGGCCTTCTAGAAGCTTCCTTCTTCCATATCTCCCATGCATGGAACTACCAAGTATTTTCCTCAATTTGGGAATTTAGACTTTGGTATTCTTTTAACATAGTGTTACTGCCAGGGAACATCTAAGAATCTGAAGCCTGGAATACCAGGGACCCCATTTATTACTCTATGACCTTTAGAGGTCTTAGTTCTGGCCAGAAGGAAGAGAAGATCCTTGGCTTTTTTTCTCTCTACTGTAAGGTCAGAAGAGGAAGGAAGAATCCTAAAATAGAAGTGGTATTCTGCTTCCGTACACACCTATTACCCTAGGTCTGGACAATCTGTGTAGAAAATATAAAGCTTTAAATATGTCATTGTTTCCCTGACACCTAAGTTTACTTTCAAAGCACATATCCTTAATTTGATATGCTAAACATAAAATTATCAGACCCATTTCTTTAAAAAATGCCAGAGATCTGGTGGTTTTCCTTAAAAAAAAAAAAAAGGTATTCTCCATCCCATCCAAATACATTAAAAACCATGTTATTAGTTATCCATTTAAGTATGATTTTGTTGGGTCCTCTTCTGATGATTAAAAGTTCTTTCTCATTTTCATTTCAAAGTCCAGTTTAGGGCTTCCATGACTCATCAGACAAGGATGCTTATTCAAGTGAACAACCTCTGGAGTCTGGAGTATTTACTGGTAGAAATACACTATAGCACATGTTCATCTTGAGAGTGTGCAAGTTAATGAGCACAGTGCCTGGCACATAGCATCCATTCCGTGAGTGTGGCTTCAAGGATCACCTCATTCTCCTTGGTACTTACATGGTAGAAATAGGGTAATGTGAGATAAAATGAGAACCAAAAAACTATAACGCTTGTATGGTTGTCCTTCCTCTATTTATACAGTCTCCATTTCCAGCACTTAACTTGACAAAACCTGTTTTTGTGTATCCAATGCTTCCAAGGTCCCTTTTGTATGCCAATTTAGATTTTTGTACAATCTCAAATGAACAAGTATTTAGCTCAGTAACATGGCAAAACCTACTGCCAGCCAATGGTGTTCCCATCTTTATTTGTACAACACTGCAATATTTGAGTATTTTACTGCATTTTAGTTTGATATGAAAATGAGTAGAAAACATAAAATTGAAAGTGTTGATGAGAAGCATGGGTATTCTGAACATGATACACTTGAGACATGGGAATGATTAGGAATACCAAATCAAAAGTGGCAAACCTTAGAACCTCACTGGGTGCTTATTGAATATCCAAGTTGGCTAGGTGTGTGTTCACTCAAAAAGGAAAGGAAGAAAATGAAATAATTTGGATGAAATTGAACCTATATTATGAAAGAATGGCTCTAATCGTGATGTGTAATTGAGTGTAATTTTTTTTTTCTCTCTAGGAATAGAACCAAGGATTATAATATTAATTTATTCAACTCCCACCTAGTCAATTTTTGAACATATTTTCAGGAATACATTTTGTAACACAACCATAGTCTTTCATGACCAGAAGCTAAGGTTTAAGTGTTGTTGTTGTTGTTGTTGTTAAGTGTCATCAAGTCATTTCTGACCCATAGTGACCCTCTATAGGGTTTCCGAGGAGCAACTGCTGGGCTTGAACCGCAGACCTTGCAGTTCAAACAGCTTTGCAGTCTGGTGCATTAACCCACAGTGCCACACCAGGACTCCAAGGTTTAAATAGAGACTGTTAAAAGGTTTTCTAAATGATGATTTAGGAGATAACTGCTGCCACCATCTTTCAACATTTTACAACTGGCTCAATAGAAAGTGAAGTCATGGGTCATAGTCTCTGCTATTGTCACTCCCCCTACCTGTACCTGATGAAATGGCCCTTGACTTGGAGGCCAACCCTGTTCATCTTGTATGTAAAAGTGTGAATAGATAACCAAACTGAGCAACAAGGTTTTAAAACTAAGAGATTGCTGTTATAATCAAATCATTTAATTGGGCATATTTAATAATGTGAATAATCCCTAATGCTTTGCCATAATTAGGCAAAGTGACAGTGTATTAAAGGCTTCAATTAATATTTTACAAGTCAAGCTAAATTTTGTTTCTTGTTTTGGTCCCTTTTTTTGGTTTGTTTTATTATTAAAGAGGAGATCCTAGTCAGTCATCTCCACCATATGTCCCAGAAAGTAAATTGGTTTCTGTATTCCTCCTTCAAGAATAATATGTAGGTTTGCAACTGATTGGCTAAGTAACAGATTAGTAACAGACTTATTTCTAAGAAAGACAAGTGATTAATTTGGATACATCCTAAAATAGAAGTAGTAAAAAGTTCATCCCAGAGTAATTATAAGATTAATCCTCAGTTTTGAGGTGTCTACTTGTGTAAATATTTGCTTTGGTTTGATAAATGGTATTCTGTTAATTTCCAAGTGAGTTATTAAAGATATAAATAAAATGCCCTTCCTCATCCATGCCTATGGACCATTTACTATGTTCAGCAGGCTGTTGAGAGGATGAGTAAGAGGTCAAAATATATATTCTCAATTCTGAGGCATAACTAACTCAATTTATTCTCTCATAGAAACTGTAATAAATAGGAGTTAGGTTCCCAGGCCACCAAAGCTTATTTACCCCTCATTGTAGGTGAAATGCCTTAGCTAGCTATGCGGTAATGTAGCATGATGTAGGAAAGAGAAGCCTGGTTTCTATTCTAGTTTGCCACAATTTACAATTCATGTAAATCGGCCAGTCACTGAACCTGAATTTCATCATCTATGAGATGAGCTGGTATGTAATTAGTAACAGTCCAGGTCCTTTCAGTTCTGTAAATTTAAGGATACCACAAGATGCAGGGAAAATCCCTCACCCTGAACAAAGAAGGAAACAACCTTACTGGTGTTGCTACTTAATTGGCAGCGGATCTTTTTATTATGTGGCAACTACTGTTTCAAATAAGTGACCTTGCTGTACACCATTGTTGTTAAGTGTTGTTGAGTTGGTTCTGACTCACAGTGACCCTGTATTGGGTTTCCTAGAAGCAACTGGTGAATTTAAACTGTTGACCCTGTGGTTCGCTGCTGATCCTGCAGAGCCACACTATATCACTGTTAAAGCAGATCAATTTAAAACTGTATAAGACACAGTGAAATAGGACATGCACAAAGAAATTAATCATAATTGCTCTTCAGTCTAAGAACCATGTGTCCAATGAGAGTTTTCTAAAGAAAGAACCCAAGGCAATCATGAAATTGTTCAATTCTAGATTATGTCAGGTAGACTAGAAATGGGAGTGGTGGTAGGGGAGAAACAGTAATGAAGGAATGCTACCCCTGAGGAAGAAGTAAGAAGAAATAGAATTTCCAAGAAAGGGTAACTAAGGGTGGCAATCAGAGGATATCCTGTCATCATACCATGACTCTTGATGTTTGTGTTTAATGAGAATGAGAATAAAAGATTGAAATTGTGGTTTTTCTGGATCATTTATTTGTGATAGGTTCTTTGAGTCTTACTGACACAACCACAGGAAAGGCTGCTCAGTCAGTGTGTGTGTGTGTGTGTGTGTGTGTGTGTGTGTGTGTGTGGTGGGGGTGTGCTTCTTTTGCTGGTATTTTTCCCATCCCTTTTGGTAGCAGATGAAGAAAATGATAAAATAAACATCTCCATGTTTTCTGCTTCCTGGTTTGGTGGAACAACCTTACTTTTGGTGTTGCTCTTGAGTGCAAGGATCTTTGAAGCCACACATCTTCTTTTCCTTTAATCAATTATCTCATGTTTCTTCTTTCCATACCCTCTGTAATTAGAGTTTTATCACCTAATACCATTTATTGTCATCCTACGCCTACTGCCCATCAGAGTTCCCGGCATAGTAGATGCTCACTAGTTGCGTTAATGGCTCTAAATCCTCTTCCCTCCATTAACGTTGCCCAAATACTCTACGAAAATAGGGTTTCCTCCTCCCTGATTGCCCATCATTCTTACTACTTGTCAAATACTTGGACGGTTGGTCACATTCCGAGCAATCTCTTTTGGACATCCTCATGCCTGTGCCCCCTCTTGTGTGTGTAATGATTCCTGGTTGTAAGTCTATTCTTCTCCAAATGCATGCTTCATACTTGGCACCCTCAAGCATTTGCCAGTCCAGTGGCTCTCCACAAAACACCTAGAAAATGGTTATTGCCTCAGCTCTGTGGAGGCTGGTTGGTGCTGGATATTTAAGTAAGGACTACCCACCCATCTTTATTCAGCACTTCTACTGCTTTTTCTTTAATTGCCCATCACCACTTCATTCAAAAGCAGTGATTATTCATTCATGGAGCATTTACTGAGCTTCCACCTGGAGCAAAGCTCTGTGCTAGGTGCTCTGGGGACTATATAAAGATGTATAAGATGCCTTGTCTGAATTCTGTAGCAATTACTGCCTGTATGATTCACAATTCATCCAGCAATTAATCATGTACTGTTTTGTGATGCCTCTTACTCTGGCTAGAAAGTGTTATTTAAATCCTGCAATGTTATTCATTAAACAGTTATTGAATGTCTATGATGTGATAAGCACTATCTCAGCAGCTGGGACAGATATAAAGATAATTATGACATAATGCTCCAAATGCTACTGGAATCCCCCAAAAGGGATCTTCAACTGTCCTAGGGAATCATAGTTTTCACTGAAGAGGTAATAATTCAGCTAGACCTGAAAGGTCAAGGGGAAGCTGGGCAGTCTAAGCAAAGGAAATATCAAGAGCCAAGTCAGTAGTCCAAAAGAGCACGTTGTATGTGGGAAATGATATGGGTGACATTGGAGCAGAGACATTGGTGGGAGGTAACGTTGGGAATATGCAGGTACATGTATAACAGGCTAAGGAATTTGGACTTTATCCTTTAACAAGGAAAAACATTTTCTTCAGATTACATATGTTGTTGTTAGGTTTCATTGAGGTGGTTGTGACTCATAGCAACTTTGTATAGGGTTTCTGAGGCTATAAATCTTTATGGGAGCAGAAAGCCTCATCTTTCTTCTGCAGAGTAGCTGGTGGATTTGAACTGCTGACTTTGAAGTTCGCAGTCCAGTGCTTATCCCACAACACCATTGATTATATATGGAGCACAGGCTTATTGTAAAAAAAACTTCCAAACATTTACAAATATGTAAGAAGTAGAAAGTTAACTAATATTGATGGTTTGAGAGAATCTTTCAGATTATCTTTCCACGGGAAGACTAACATTGCCATTCAAAATGGAAAAGAGTATCTCTTGAATATCATTCCATACCCATACATACAGATCTACTTCAGTTTTCCAAATGGCTGTCTGGTTGGGAGCCCATTAGCAGTAAAGAGTCACATTCTGTAACCAGACTGCCTGGATGGGGTCTTTAGCAAGTCACTTAACCTCTCTGTGCTTCAGTTATGTCATCTATAAAATAAGCATATTAATAATAGTCATATGCAGAAGGTTATGTTGAAAATTAAATGAATCAGTACATGTAAAGGACTCACTCAGAGTAGCGCCTGGCAAATGTTAAGTGTTCAATATATTTGTGATTCTATAATTTATTTAACCAGTGTCCAAGGAGTGTTTTATACAAGGGAGTAATAGAATCATCTTTTTAGAAAGAGTTGTCTGGAACCTGCTGGGGAGACTAAACAGAGATGGAAGATTGGTGGCAGAGATCCTAGTAGGAGACAGTGAGATGTGGAAGATTGGCTGTTACTGGCAGAGTCAAAATACACAATTGAGACATTTCTGGGAGACCAAATGCTAGAACTTGTTGTCTGGTGATGGCTGACAGGAAAAGACAATTTGAGGACAAGTTCCAGATTTTTGGCTTAAAGGACTGTGTAGACGGGAATGTCATAGTCACATATTTGTTCAACAAATGTATTTTGAGTGGCATTGTAGGGTAAAGCATTGAATTGAAAAATCAGTTTGAACTGCAAGGTTGGTGGTTCAAACCCACCAGCAGCTCCTCAGAGACCCTGTGTAGGTTGCTATGAATCGCAATTGACTTGTCGGCACTAACAACAAACTAGTTAGCGTTGAGGTTTATGGAGTTTTGGTGGTGCAATGATTAAGCGCTCAGCTGTTGGAACTCAGGAGCCACTCCTGGGAGAAAGATGTGGCAGCTGGCTTCCTTAAAAAATTAACCCAACTCAAAACCACTGCTGTCGAGTCACAGCCTTAGAAAACCTACAAGTCAAAATCGACGCATGGTAACAGAACTGCGGGGTCTGCCACTGTTTTACAAATACAAGATATGGTAGTGAACAAGAAGGGATTCACTGTCTGTGAATGGGGATCAATGTAAAACATGTAAACATATAAGTGAACAGGAATTTCAGTGTAGCCTAGCATTTCTTGAATGATAACCAAAGAACTGAATGTTTCCATTCAGTCAGTCCTGACCCACAGTGACCCTATGTTGTTAAGTGCTGTCGAGTCAGTTCCGACCCATAGCGACCCTGTATAGGGTTTCCAAGGCTGTAAATCTTTACGGGAGCAGAAAGTTTCATCTTTCTCCCACGGAGCGGCTGGTAATTTCGAACAACTGACCTTGAGGTTAGCAGCCCGATTCGTAACCACTATGCTACCAGAGCTCCATTCAGTGACCCTATGGGGCAGAGTAAAAGTGCCCTCTGGCCTTCCAAGGCAGTAATCTTCATATCTTTCTCCCACCGAGCCCCTGTTCAGATTGACCATTTGGTTAGCAGTCTAGTGATTAATCCTGGTTGGTTGTTTTTATTGTTAAGTGTCTTGGAATCCGTTCCAACTCATAGTGACCATGTACAGGATTTCCAAGGAGTGGGTGGTGGATTTGAACTGCCGACCTTGCTGCTCAGTGAGTATTCTACAGTGTCATACCAGGAATGAATGGTGTTGCTGTTGTTAACTGCCACTGAGCCGGCTCCAACGCACAGTGATCCTGTATAGGGTTTCCGAGGAGCGAATGGTCAGTTTGAACCACTGACCTTGCAGTTCAAACGACCTGGTAGTCCAGTGCTTATCCTACAGCGCCAACCAGGACTCCAGATTGAATGGTAGAGGGTTTCAATAAGTAGTCAGTGATCTTAAATTATGGATCCAACATTGGACAAGTTTCACAATTTCACATAGTGATGATTACAAGAGCTCGTGATTCATTCACGGCGGTAGACGTGTGCCCAGAAAGGGTAATTTCATCTGATCCAAGCCCCATTTTACAGCCACGGCATATGTGGCCTTGGAAAATTCAGCGTTTGGGCTACAGTCACACCACTCGCGCCCAGAGGCGGCTTCAGCTTCGCGGTGCGGGCTAGGCCACCAACGAGGAGCGTGAGGCCGAGTCTGCGTGCTGATGTTTTGAGCCGTAGTTTCCGGGGTCGGAGGAGCGGAGCAGGGGTGGGGGTGAGGGGGGGCTGCTCGGGCGCGGCCCTTTGGTGGCCGCAGTCTCACGTCTCCCGGGCTGGGCGCCTCACGGCGGTTGCGGCCCGGCGTCGCGAGGCACTTCCGGCGTGTGCCGGGGTGGCCGGATGACGTGGCTGAGTCAGAGGAAGAGGCTGAGAAGGCGTCGGGGGGGCGGGGGAGGCTCGGGAGCGGGCAGTGACGGCGGCGGCGGCGGCAGCGCGGAGGAGGCTGCGGCTTGGTCCCGGCCCCGTGCGTCTGTCCGCGCCCTGTGGATGCGAATCGGCCGCCGCGGCGGCGGAGGAGTCGGTGGGCCGGCGCCGGGCCGGTGGGAGCGCGGAGGATGAGGCCGCTGCCGGGCGCTTATGGCGTGGCGGCGGCCGCCGCGCTGTTGCTGCTGCTGCTGCCCCGAGCCCAGGCGGACGAGCACGAGCACACGGTGAGAGGCCCTCCGGCCTGTGCGGTTGCCTCTGGCCCGATGTCCCGGCTTGCTGCCCTGGTAGGCCTGGTGCGGCCTGGATCGCTAGTCGGCCAGGGCCAACCCAGTGTCTGCCGGAGGACTTCTTCCGGTTGGGCCTGGCCGAGCAGGAACCCTGGGTGCAGGGAGGAGGCATTTCCGTGCGTTCCCGGGACAGGACTGGGCTCCCCGAGTGCTGGGCCTACTTGCCCACACCTGGACCTAAATGGCGCCGCACCCTGGGCCAGGGGCTCCAGGGGCCGAGGAAGAAGCCTGGTGCTGGTCGAGGTTCACTTCGCTTCGGGCGTAGGGGCCTCGGGCCGACCGGGGTAGTGTTCCCCAGGGAAGGTGGTTGGGATTCCACACAGCTGAAGGTGGATGCATCCAATGACTCTTGATACTCTAACCAGGACACATCCACCAGTTTATGGTCCTCAGCGGCTCTCCCTTCCCCCCACCTCCTGCTCAAACCGGATTAAAAGCCTGGCGTAGTTTTAACAGCATTAATAAACTTGGGATGAAGAGTAGTTAACACGTGTACAGGCACTCAACCCAGTTCTGAGGCCTTTCGTGTAACTTTCTCCTCTAGTTTCCAGATGAGGCATCAATACCAGTGGTCGCTAAAGCAGCCTCTGACAGTAAAGGGTCTTGAGTTTCCCTGTTTTCATCTAAGGATCAAGGACTGCCCCTTTTGCATTGGCTTAAAAGTGATTGGCGGTTTATTTAATTGGCATTTTACATCAAAGCATGAATGATAACGACTCTCCAAGCGACTTGACTTTTACTTAGGCCTGTAACACGGGTTTCAGAAAGGTAGATGTGAGCAAGACAAGGACTTACGTTAATTAAGAGGTTACATGATGAGTATTTGCTTTTACCTATGATTTTGTTGAGGTTCCGTATTGTTTCATCCTGCGGCGGAAGTTGTGTATGTATTAAATTGGAAAGATTTGGGGAGTCTTCTGGTATTACTGCTAAGAAAGGAAGCATTATTAAAATGGACTCTTCATTGTTAGCTGTTTTAATTGCAAGAAGAGGGCTTCTTTTCACTTGTCTCTTAGCTGGACTCCTATGTTAGCTTAAAAAAAAAAAGTTAAGTTTTTGGCCATTTAACCTTCAATCATAGTCAGAAATGTCTTACCTGCATATTTTTAGAGATGTTATGGTTAGGTGCCATTGAGTTAGTTCCAACTCAGAGCGACCTTACAGACCCCAAATAGGCAGCTGTTTTGGTGCTATAGTGTCACTGTTTATCTTAAGATCATTTTGTTTAGAAGTTAATTAGTTAAAATAAAAATACTTAATGTTGTTTCTTTTGTCAGGTAACTTTTATCAGACTGTTAATGTTTCATGTAATTTACAGGGACCATAGGTATATAGACTGGGGTCTTTTATTACTTTTGGATTTCTAATGGGCATCTTTAGGCTAATGGGATTGTTGTAAAGTGCCATTGAGTCGATTCCGACTAGCAACCCTGTGTAGGGTTTCCACGGAACATCTGGTGAGCTTGAACCGCCAACTTGCAATTCAAACAACTTTGCAGTCTGACGCATTATCCCACAGCGCCATATTTTTTCACTTTTTTTTTTTTAAACCTTTTAAGAAAAGTTAATCATGTAAAATTCAGAACTTTTTCTTAACCATAGTTCTACAATTTGGAATTATGTCGTTAAGTGCCGCGGAGTCAGTTCTGACTTTCCATAGTTCCACCAAACAGACATGTAAACTGGAGTAGTATTTTACATGTTAATGTTGTGTTTTATACTGCTATGGTGGTGGGGGTTGTGTGCCGTGGAGTTGGTTCCGACTCATAGCGACCCTGTACAGGGTTTCTGAGGCTGTAAATCTTTACGGGAGCAGGAAGCCTCATATTTCACCCACAGAACAGCTGGTATTTTTGAACTGCTGACCTTGTGGTTCACAGCCCGATTCGTAACCACTATGCTACCGGAGCTCTTAACAATTAAAGTTTTCCTAAACTGGAGGCATAAACTTAAACTGTAAAATACTTAATAATAAACTTGAACTGTAAATACCAAGTCCAGTGAAATTTTATTGCCAGGATCACTTTATTTTTCAAGTCAGTAATTGAATCAAAAATATTTTTAAAAGGTTTTTTGTTGACTGCTATAAGAGAATACAGCATATATGAGATGCTTTCTGGGCAAAAATAATTTTTAATCCATGACATTTCATTTCAGTCATCTTTCTGCACTTCTCTCACTTGATTACCTATTTTTAAAACAAAACAGAAGAAATTATAGGAAGAATAGTATTAAGATGTAAGTATAAAATTAAAATTGTCAGTAAAATTATTTTTTGTGTTACCGAATGTTTGACCTTTTCAAGTTACTTGAAAAGTAGGCAATGCTGGAAGGTCTAGTGATGCTTCTTCCCCCCACTAAAAAGGTGGGACTAGTCAAGAAGAGGGAATGATACAGAAGTCATAGGGGAAAATATTTGCCAAGGGAAGGTTGCTTAGTTTAGGGTTGTTTAACAAATACTTGCGGAATTGGATTACTAATTAAAGGACCCTTTGCGGAAGCTAAAGGTTGTCCGTTGATTAACTTTCTGTGAAAACTGTTCCAGGTAAAAAGAAACATGAGTCAAAATTGACTCAGTGGCAATAGGAATGCAGTTCTTAGAGCATTTACTATGTTGTACATGGGGTTGCTATGAGTCAGAACCAAGTTAGTGGCAGCTAACAACAGGCACATATTAACTCATATTTTAAATATATGCTAGTAACTTTGTGAGGTGGGAAGAGAAAAATGAGGATGGAGAAGTTAAGTAACTTGCTTGAGGTCACCTGGTCAAGGGATATAGTTGTTATTAAGTGTCATCAAGCCAGTTCTGATTCATAATGACACTGTATAGGGTTTCTAAGGAGCAGCTGGTGGGAAACTTCTTTCTGCTAAAGTTTTTATCATTCATGGGCCATACAAAATTGTCAACTTAAAAATTAGCCTGCTATATTTGGTCAAACATTTAATTGTTGTTATGTGCTGTGGAGTTGATTCTGACTCCTAATGAGCCTGTACAGGGTGTCTGAGGCTGCAAATCTTTATGGGAGCAGAAATTCATCTTTTCCCCGCGGAACAGCTGGTAGTTTTGAACTGCTGACCATGAGATTAGCAGCCCGATTTGTAACCACTACACTCCCAGAGCTCCTAACTAATTAACTCACCCCTAATGCACCAAACTTAGGAGCTCTGGGAGCGTAGTGGTTACAAATCGGGCTGTGAACTTCAGGGACAGCAATTCAAAACTACCAGCTGTTCCGCGAGAGAAAGATGAGGCTTTCTGCTCCCGTAAAGATTTACAGCCTCGGAAACCCTGTACAGGTTCGCTGAGTTGGAACGGACTCCACATCACATAACAATGACAATGTACCAAACTGCAAAGCCTTTTGAACGGCAAGGTTGGCAGTTCAAGCTCACCAGCTGCTCCTCGGAAACCCTATACAGAGTTACTATGGTTCGGAACGACTCGACGTCACTTCACAGCAACAATAATGTAGCGCTGTTGGTTAATATGCCAGACTGCAAAGCCATTTGAACTGCAAGGTCAGCAGTTCAAGCTCACCAGTTGCTCCTTAGAAACCCTATACAGGGTTGCAACTGACTCAATGGCACTTCATGACAACAAATGTGATGGTTCCCCAGCCAATCCTTTGAAACCCTATCCAGAGTCACTGTGAGTTGGAATCAACTCAATGGCACTTAACAGCAACAACAATAAAATGTGATGGCTAAGGAGCCCTGGTAGTACAGTGGATTATGAGCTAGACTGTTAACTGCAAGATCAGCAGTTCAAATCTACCAGTAGCTATGAAGGAGAAAGATGAGGCTTTCTGTGCCCACAAAGATGTACAACCTTGGAAATCCTATGCAGGATTGCTGTGAGTCGGAACTGACTCAGTGGTACTTAAACAACAACAAATGTGATGGCTGAAACTGTGGGGTTGCCTCAGCAGGGCCAGACCCAATGATTTCATGGGCCTATACGGCCCCCTGGCCAGGCATTCCACACTGGGTTGCTAAGAGTTGAAACTAACTCGATGGCACTTAACAACTAGGACAGTAAAACACTTGGTATTAAATTGAATAGTTAGTATTTTTTAAGAGCTTATGAAATGTTTGACTTTGTCAAACTCCATGTTGTTGTTATGTGCTGAGGAGTTGGTTTTGACTTATAGTGACCCTGCACAGGGTTTCTGAGACTGCATATCTTTACGGGAGCAGAAAGCCTCATCTTTATCCCGCAGAACAGTTGGTAGTTTCGAACTGATGACTTTGTAGTTAGCAGCGTGATTCCAAACTCCATAGTAGGTTGTTAATTAGGAGATGTCTGGGTTAGCATTAAGTAGGGATCTGTTAGGTGTCATTGAGTCAGTACCAACTCATAGCGACCCTATGTATAACAGAACGAAACACTGCCCGGTCTTGGCCCAACCTCACAATTGTTGCCACGTTTGAGCCCATTGATGCTGCCACTTTGCCAATCCATCTCACTTGGGGAGGGGGGGTCTTCCTATTTTTCACTGACACTCCACCTTACCAAACATGATATCCTTCTCCAGCAACTGGTCCCTCCTGACAACATATCTGAAGTATGAGAAGATGAGAGACGAAGTTTGGCGATCCTAGCTTCCAAGGAGCACTCTGACTGCACTTCTTCCAACACAGATCTGTTTGTTCTTTTGGCAGCCTATGGTTAAAAGCATCAATTCTTCTGCGGTCTTCCTTATTCACTGTCTAGCTTTCACATGCACTGCAAAAGGTTACTGAAAATACCATGGCTTGGGTCAGGCACACCAGTCCTCAAGCTGACATCTTTGCTCTTCAACACTTTAAAAACGTCTTGTATAGCACATTTGCCTAATGCAATATGTCGTTTGATTGCTCAACTGCTGCTTCCATGGGTGTTGATAGTTAATCCAATAAGAAGTAGGGATAGGGCAGACTTAATGGGCATGTAG